AAGTCCTTGGGGAATGTGGGAGCCGAAGGATTTGAATCTTCCACAGACAAGGATTATGAGCCTTCCAGACTAAAGAATTTATAAACACAGAGTTTTCTTAGGTTCGTGGGATAGTTAGTGTTGGAAGGGACCTCAGGAGGTGTCTGATCCAAACACCTGCTCAAAGCAGAGTAAGCTCTGAGGCTGCTTCAACTGGTTCACAGTTTGTCCAGTCAGGTCTTTGAAACCCCCTTTGTTTGGGTCAGGCCTTTTGGAGACAGCAGCTGATATTTTCATGCTACAGGACTAAGGCCACTGTCATTCAGATTCTGGCTTTTCCACAGGACTTGTGGAACTTGTCATCCCTTTCAGATGGATCTGCCCAGGCCTTTTAAACCACAGTTGTTGACACAGGAAATCCCAGACCTAGTGACTTCTCCCTCTCTGTGCAGTGAGGATTATTTACTGCCCTGAATATCTCTAGCTAAATGCTTGCCTTTGTTTACCATGTTACAAAGGAACAACATTGCATGGGTAAAATGTTTAAACTTGTCATTTAGTCCTTACGTGAGAAGGAGCCTTCCTTTATGTTTAGAGCAGATTGGGTGTTTCCTGACTCCCTGTGTCTTGAGATGGAAGGCTGTTGTTCAGTGCAGCCCAGTAAGATCTTATTGCCTTAGCAGTGTACACGTGTGGCTTTTTGTTGGAGCTGGGCTCTCCTCAACCCCTGCAATCCTTCTGCTTTGCTCTGCCCTCTCTAAAAGTGTTCCTTTTAGCCAAGTAGGTTGATATTTTCTCCATAAGTGACTAGCCAAGCCCACTTCTGCAGCTAGCAGAACATAGTAGCCTTTGTAGAGCATGCTCTCAACACTTGATTTCCAGTGTGCCTCTGAAGTAGCAAATGATCACTGTGTTCCAGTTAGAGAGGATAACTTACACCCCACCATTACACTGCATGTCTGTGGCAAGTGAGTTCCTGCTCTGCCATCCTGTGCTTAGGCAGTGAACCCATACCTTTACCATGCTTTGTTCTTCCATTCATTCTTCTGAGGTAATGCAGTTTTCTGCAAAGGCAAGGCATGAGGGATCTACTGGTAGGGCTGCTTGGAAAGTGTTTGTTTGATGATATCCTTCATCTGCCAGAAATAGAGCCCCAGCATACTGTAGTTCCAAGCAAAGCTTCAACTTGCTGTTATCCATACAAAATAAGCTGACTTTCCTATTGCAAAGCTGGGAGTTGAGGAGCTCGACTCCTTAATCAATAAATGGGAACTGGGTCTGTTGTAAAGCTCCAGCTCTGTACATGTTTGTTCTCAGAGAACGTGGAGGCATCTGAACTGGCTCTGTGGTGATTTTCTGTGGCTTGTATTACTCCTCCAAGTCTTCCTGCAGCATCATCAGTGCTGCGAGGGATATGTGTTTTTTGGACTATGGACTTATTTAGCACACGTGCTGCTGGAGTACTCAGCTACATCCTGCTGCTCCTAAGGAAAAGTTATTCAGATTGTGATCTGTTGCTCGTGGTCTCTTTTTTAGCCTCAGAACGCACATAAACTAGGCTAAAAAGCTGTTTCCCTGCTCTTTCGTGAGAGGTAGCTTGCTGTAAGGCATGGCAGCCACTCAAGTAAGATCTGAGGCCGTGCTTGCTGCCCTCTACTGTCTGTGGAAGAGTCTAGGCCGGAGTTCAGAGTCACAGTTGGAATTACTGAGGATCTAGTAGCTCTTTGGTTTTGGTAAAAGACTTAGAGATGAGAAAAATATACGAGGAAGGTGAATAATCCACTCTGCATATCATCACCTCAGGCTGTGGAGCAACGAATTCGAGAGGAACAGCGAATGATGGATGAGAAAATTGTCTTGGAACTGGACCAAAAAGTGATAGACCAGCAGAGCACTCTGGAGAAGGCTGGGGTGTCAGGCTTTTACATCACCACCAACCCACAGGTAGGTTTGTGTTTAAGCAGCGAGCGTAAGATCTGGTAGTGCTCTTGTGCTAACAATTTTATTTATTTATTTATTTATTTATTTAAAATCTTACTCTATTAATGAATTCTCAATTGCTGGCTCAAGAAGAATGATCAGTCCTTTGCCTCATCAGCTGATGTGTAACATGCTCTGGGCAGGCCAGGTAGTGGGTTTGAAGCAACAGAAACCCATTAGAGAGGGCAATATCCCCAACCTTCTGCAGTGTTTTTCCCACTGTGGATGGAAGAAACATTGTGCCAACAGCCTGCAGTCCTGTGACCCTTGAACAGGTCCATGGAATACTGAAATAAATGGATAAGTAGGTTTGTCATTTTTGTGATTAGCTTAGCTATATAAATTGCCTTCAATGTCTTATTTTTTTAAAAGGCATCTCATTAATTCTTGCCTGTGACTTACTGGAGATAGTTGTATCAGACTGTGATAAGAGAATTGTTCTGTGTTTCTCCAGTGCTCTTAAAACTTGAGAGCAGTTGCCTAGCTTTTTGTTGTTGTTTTTTTTTTTTTTCTTCTGTTTTCCAACACCACAGGAATGGAAAACTGAAAATTCCAAAGTCTCATTATGATGCCACTGAAGTTTGCAGAGAATGTGGGAACAGACTATTCTTAACTGTATTTTTCAGCTGATTAAATTTAGTTTTGATAAAAACCTACTAGAGAGAAAAGTTGGCTTACACTAAGTTAGTTAAACAGCGATTTTCTAAAACTCACAAGATTCCTGCTCGTGTAGCCTTGAATAAGTCCCCCTTTTTTTTTTTCTTATGCCACTATTACTCATACTGAAAGCAGCTCTTTGTCTCCCCTCCTGCCCCTGCCTTTTATGTTATTTTTATAAGTAGTAACTCTTACCAGGGTTCCTATTTGCTGTTCTTATTTATGTTTGCCTTTATGATAGCTGGTAAACCAGACCTTGACTTGCATCTTTGAATGCTGCCATCATACAAGAAATCACTGCTGAAATCTGTTGTTCTTCATACATTTCCATCAGCAGATGTGTTCTTCCCAGTCTGTTATATAAACTGCCTGTTTATGCTGTTGATATATGTATTTACAAAAATAGGTTTTTATTTCCATAACGTAACATCTACAAGCCTGCGTCACAGAACCAGGGTTTACTGAATTAGATACCCCGCCATGTGCAGGGGTAATACAGTCTGTTTGCTAAATGGCTTGTGAGATAAATTTGAGTGAAGAACAAGCAGATGGCAAGGGGAGTATAAGGAAGCAATAAGCTGATGCTGGTGATTATAGGGGATGGTGATCTCAACTCAGTGGCAGTCACAGAAAAAGGAGTTTCTGAAGAATGAAAGAGGGGATTGTATACACCAGCACAGCAGTGTGTTGCATGTACCTTAGAAGAAAACAGTTGGAAAGCACACAAAGTATTTCCTCCTGCTTCCTTCCCTTGTCTCCTGTAAAAGGATCAGGCACTGGAGTTGTTGTTCAAGAACAATGGAGGGGAGCTGTGCCTACCTGGAGAACCTCCCCCAGAGTGTGTGGCTCTGTGTGTGCAAGGGGACACTGCTGCTCTCCTCCACTGAAGGCTGTGTGGTAGAAAAGGGAAAACCTTAAACTGGCCAGCCTGACAGCCCTCACTGGATTTATTGTTCAACAACTGTCAAGAAGAAAGAACCTTTTTTAACCAATAACAATTTGTAAAGCACTGGGATTCCTGATGCAGCTACAGTTTGCAGCAGATTTAAGTTATTAATGCCTTGTGTTTTGTAGAAACACTTAAGATTAAGCCCTTGTTTTGCATCTGCAAGCTTTTTCTCTTGTTCCCTTAGGACTACTCATTCTTGAGTGGGTGGTACAAACCAGTCCTTTCTGCTTCCTGCATAAGGGTATGGGATCATTTTATTCTTGCAAAAATATCTTTTTTTGCTTTACAGGAGCTGACTTTACAGATGAACTTGCTGGAACTGATTCGGAAGTTACAGCAGAAGGAATCTGAGTCAGAGAAGGCCTTCTCTTGAACAAGCAAATCTGCTGTTTACTTTCCAGAGTTTTCTTCTGAATTCCCTCTAAAGAATAGGCTGTTAATGCATTTGCTTTATATTATATAAGGAAGGGGTTAGTGGTCTGCAGCTGTAGAAGAAATAGCTGTGTCCCTTAGGAAACCTCTAGAGATGGGAGAAGCAGACCTCCAGAGCAGAGTCTGAAGCTGGAGAGCTTCAGACTGCCTTTCTACTCCTCAAAACAAGATGCATGTTGCAGTTCCTGCGGCATTGCAAAGTGTCACTAAGACAAGAGGTGACCGAGGGCATTAATCTGCCACGTTACAGCCTGCAGTGTCACTGAGGCAGTCTACTAAGTCGAGAGAGACTATTGTAGGCATCAAGTCAGCAAACCCAAACCGCTGGTGTATGGATGTTCTCTGTTATCCAGGGGAGTAAAGCTGAATTTGTGAGGAGTGTAATCTCCAAATTACAATCTCCTCTTCTGAGTCAAGGAGGAATGAGTGTCTCTGATAAGGGGTGGAAGATGTGAGCAGCTGTCCTATCAGACAGGAAGCAAAGCATTCCAATGCCTTCCGGTGCAGCCTCAGTGTGCAGATAGCTGGCGGGTGGGGGGGAAAAAAAGTTTATCTACAAGATAACATGCATTTGTGTGTGCTGAGGCAGAAACAACATCCTAAACAGGCAGACCCCTTACAGAGAGACATTTAGGCAGTTAACAGCATAGGCTTCTCCTCTGACTTTTAGTAAGGGAGGCCTCTGTCCACCTGCACTGGACTGTGACGTGATGTCAGTGGTGTTTCCACCCGAGTCAGATAGCAGAAAAGGCTTCAGAGCTTTTGCTTTGTTACTTCAAAACAGTTTCCAAATGGATAGAAATAAAATATTGCGTACAGCCTCCTGGGGCTGCAGCTTTTTTAAATGTCAGCAATCACACAGTTTTTCTATCCTTTCTAGATAAGCATGGGTTTGGGGCTTCACTAGATTAAAGCTAGAGAGCTGGAGAGCTCCTAAGAACTTTTAGGGCTGAGCTGATTAACTCTTGGTTGCATCCCCCAGACTTGGTCCTCAGGAGGAGTCTGAGCACTTGCTGAGAGCTTGGTTAAAAGACATTGCACATCACCTGACACCAGCACATTTCTTGCACACCTGAAGCAATGTTGGGACCTCACAGGAAATGGGATGGGCAAGGCAGAGACTGAAAGCAGTTGCTTTCTTCATGGATGAACGGCCCTTCAAGCCAGAGCAGCTGCTGGGGATGGATCAAGGACTCTTACCAAAGTGTGTTCAAGGGCTTTGATTACACGAAGATCATTGTTGAAGGGTTCTCTAGCATTCCTATAGCAAAGGATTGTATTTGGGAGACTTCTCCTTTGTGTTACTGTTTGCTCTTGCCTGCATCCTTTGCTATTGCTACCTCTTTTCACAGTAGAAGGCAGTGTTAGAAGGTTCAGAATGCTGTTAATTGCTGAAGCTGGGAAATGTGTCACTTCTGTAAGCCCTTAGGTTCTTATGAAAGCAGATCACTGAAGCCATGGGGGTTTTCAGCAAATTGGGACCATCCCCAGCTGAAACAAGGAAACTGCAGAGGTGTTGGGAGACTTTGTGGGTGGTGTTTCAGTAGGGTGAGGTGGTGGTGTAGCCTGCTGATGTATGCAAATGCAACAGCATTCTGATTTCCTGCAACACTGAGAGAAGCAAAGAGGCTTTTGCAAATTCAGGGCTGAGTCACGCTCCCATATCCATCATGACTTTCCCCCCACAGGATCATGCTACTGCGGTTCAGTGATTGCAGACAGAAGGTGTATCTCTTGTGGGGTCACTATCCCTAGCCAGAAAGTAGGTTGATGTGGGAATTGCCCCATTGCAGAATCCCCAAGAATTACCATGAATTTTGTATCCACTTGACCCTCAGCCCTGCACTCAGCTGCTAAAACATCAAGGCTTTGCTGCCCTCTGCCCCAGGCTGCCTTTCTCCGGTGTTTAGGAACCTGGTTTGGTGGGTGATATTGGTAGCAGGGGAATCGTTGGACCAGATGATCTGGGAGGTCTTTTCCAACCTTAATGATTCTGTGATCAGCGCCTGGCAGGCTGCTCCAGTGGTACCATGACAACGGCAGCAGAGCTCCAGCGGGAGCACTTGGGCTTCGTGCTCCCACCATCTGGTTTCAGCAGCCTACGGCTCTGCCAGGCAAACAATCCAAGCTGAAATTTTCCATGTCTGCGGTCTGCCTCAGGTTGTGCTTTAGAGGGGCTTTCTGAGCAAGGTGGAGGGTGGCGGGGCGCTCCGACATGGTTAATTGGTTGAAAAGATTTATTTTAAGAGAATAAATCATCTGGGATAGCTCGTGATCAAGGGAGCGTTTGATCAGCCCAGTTTCAGTGGAGGAAAATTTAGTCAGCCCCCACATGAAGCATTACTAGGAGGTATAAGGCTGAGAATAGGCAGATATTCAATTTTTTTTTTTTCAGCTGCAAGTTTTCCTTCTCTCTCCAGCCCCCCACATCAGTGCATTTGTGTCACTAGAGGGTGACACCTTCCTACAGGGTGATGCCTTTCCTGCCTGGTGGGTGAGGGAAAGGCTGTTGTAGTCTGCCCAGACTTAAGCAAAGCCTTTGACACGGTCTCCCACAGTATTCTCCTGGAGAAGCCGGCAGCCCATGGCCTGGAAATGAGCCAGCAGTGTGCCCAGAAGGGCAAGAAGGCCAACGGCATCCTGCCTTGTGTCAGGAATAGTGAAGGCAGCAAGGCCAGGGAGGTGATGGTGCCCCTGTACTCAGCTCTGCTGAGGCCATACCTCAAGTACTGTGTTCAGTTGGACGTGGTGCTTAGGGACATGGTTGAGATTAGTAGTAGGGGTATGGTTGGACCAGGTGAGCTTGGAGGGCTTTTCCAGTCTTGATTCTATACAGAGCTGGCCTTGGCCCTGTTTCTGTAGTGGCAATGTTTCTGCCCATGGTATTTGGGCTGGAGTTAAATCTTGTGAGAGTAATCCAAAGGAGCTGATCTGGCTGGAAATGCTAAAACAGATTATGGGCTTTCAGCTGACTCAGCTCCTGTGCAGCCCCAGAGCCCTCAATCGGCCATACAGGTGCTATAGGAACACACAGCTGGGTGGGGGCCTTCTGCACCTTTGGTTGCAGCTCAGGTGGCTTCAGCCACCCACAAAGCTGGGCCTTAAGCTCTGCCGAAGTCTCAACGCATGCAAGAAGCTGCGTGGAGAGGGGATGCACGATCAGACTGAGCTACCTGTTCATATGGCAGCAGGTGAGCAAACGGAGAGCTGCTGTGCCAGCCCTGTGTTTACTCATGAGCTAGAGAAAGGTCGATGAGCAATGAAAGGAAGGGACAAGGCCCATTTCCTGGTGCTTTGTTCTATACTTTGCTGAGCTGAACGGGAGGATAGCAAGGTCCCCTACAAAGGAGGAGGTACGTTGAGCATGGATAGAAGCGGGTTTATGCACGTGGGAGCACTTAGTTTCAAATGACAGGCTCCAAGTTGACTGTTACCACTCTGGGTGTTTGGGGTGATGACTGACAGGTCCACACAAACATGAGCTTTCATGCTCAGGCGCCATCAAATGGCACATCAGGAAGTATTAGGATGGGAGCAGAGGAGAAAATGAAAACCATTTTGCTGCCGTGAAGCTGCTGGTGCACCAAAACCCAAACCCTGCCCCCTTCATTCCTAGAGTGCAGCAGAGCTGGAAAAGGTGCTGTGAAAGGCAGTGGGGCCTGGAGCACCTTCACCTCCATTCCTCCAGCTGGAAACAGTGCCCAAGAGGGGTCAGGGCTGAGATAAAACCACAGGAGGGGAGCTTCACTCTCTTCAAACAAAAGGAGTGTTACATGAAGCCTGCAAAAGGCAGGTTGGGGTGGAACGGGGTTGTTTGTGTGCCGGGCAGCAGAGCTAGGAAGCTCCTTGCTGCAGGGGGTGGGGGTGCAGAGGGTTTACACTGGTTTTAGAGGAGATGGGGCAGTTCTGGAGAAGAGGAATCACACACTTCAGTCTCTCTGCTGGACTCTGGGTACCCTTTCACTGCTTTTTGCTTCGCAGCATCACTGCGAGCAGGATGGGTCAGTCCAGAACCTGTTTGCCACTGCAGCCCCTCCAGCTGCTTTCCCTTATTCCTTCCTCTCCTTGGGGCAGAGCCGAGCGTGGGGACGATCCCAGCCACCCAGCCAGGAGCTCCGGAGCATGGGGAGGACAGAGACAAAATCCCCCCCTGGATAGGAGTGGGGCGGAGAAGAGCAGCCATTCAGCCCTTCGCCCCATCGTCTGCGTTCGTCTCCCGGGTTTTGGGACCACATCTCCATCCTCGGCTGCCGCCCACCTCTGATGGGGACAAAAGAAGGGGGGGGGACAGCGGCAACGACCCGAGGGCTGCGGGGCTCCCTCCGCCACCTCCCGCTGCCGGGGACCCGCCCGCTGCCGGGGCCGCGCCGGCCTCCGCCCTTCCGCGGGGCTGGACCGGGCGGGGCTGAATCGGATCGGATCGGATCGAGTTGGATCGGATCGGGTTGGCTTGGATCGGATCGGATCGGCTCGGAGCAGGTGCGGAGCTCCGGGGGCGCAGGGGCCGCCCGCGGCAGGTGAGCGGGGCCCCCCCCACCCGGTGGCAGCGCCGTGAGCGTGGTTCCCCACGGAGCCTCTCCCCCCCCTTAGGGTTAGGGGTGTCTTGGAGACCTTCCTGCGGCCCGGGAGGTTTTGGGGAGCGGTGTCGGGGGCCTGCTGAGCGCTGTGGTTTGGGGATGGTTGGGTGGGCAGCCCGAGGTGGTGGGATTTGGGAGGGGGGCAGCTGGAAGCAGGGAGCAGCTCGTGGGTGTCAGGCTAAGTGCAAGACCCCAGAGGGTCCCCAGCTCTGCATCGTGCTCCGCCAGGTGTGGATGTCTCTCTCCTGGTCTGGAGAGGACACCCACGGCCTTACTTTGCCATGCTCGGCCTCTCCATACCTCCTGCTGCGTCTCCCTGTCGTGCCTGGGCTTTCCCCGGGGAAGCAGTGAGATGCTGGGGGGGGGGGCAGACCCTGCACAACCCCTCGGTGGGCTCCTGGCATGCCAAGGTTTCCCCTGGGAAGGGAGGTGCTTAGTGAGGCAGGGGGGAAGCAGCAGAGAAACCTTCAGCGTGGCCCTGAGTTGCTTGGTTTGGAATTATTATTATTTATTTTTTTTTAGCACAGCTCCATTTTCAAATAGGAAAGGTGGGGAAGTGCTGCCCTTGAGGTGCTGCAATTATCTGCTTGCCTTACCAGTATGTCACTGGGGCATGGGCAGCTGGCTCTGGTGCCCCTGCAGGAGGCTATGGGGCAGTGCTGGGTGCTGACCCCACCACGCTCTCTATTTGGAGCCAGCAGGTCCAAATTTGGGGAAGCATGCCTGGTGACTTTTCTACCCTGTCCCCAACTCTCCTGGGCTTGGCCAAGGTGCAGGATCCGGGCAGAGAGGGTGCTGGGGCTGAGCAAAACCCTGCAGGGTTTTTGCAGCAGAATGCAACCCGAGCATTTAGGAGCTGCTGCCACTGGGGCTCCTGACCCCTTCCTGCTCCCCCTCTAGGTCTCCGAGCAGGGCATCGCTGCCTCGGAGCCCTCGTCCTGCCGGAGAGCAGGGCCTGGTGCCTGCAGGATGGCGAGATGGCTGCCTCGCTCCGCGGACCTGACCCGCTTCTGCCAGAAACTCAACCGAGTGAAGACCTTGGAGGATGACATGATGGAGACGTCCTTCAACAGATGCCTTTCCACCATCGACCTGACGCTGCTGGGCATTGGGGGCATGGTGGGCTCTGGGCTGTACGTCCTCACAGGCACCGTGGCCAAGGAGATGGCTGGCCCCGCTGTCATCGTCTCCTTCATCATCGCCGGCTTCGCCTCGCTCCTGGCTGCTCTCTGCTATGCAGAGTTTGGGGCCCGGGTACCCAAGACGGGCTCTGCCTACATGTTCACCTACGTGTCCGTGGGGGAGATTTGGGCATTTCTCATCGGCTGGAACGTGCTGCTGGAGTACATGATCGGGGGCGCAGCGGTGGCCAGGGCCTGGAGCGGCTACCTGGACTCCATCTTCAACCACAAAATTAAGAACTTCACTGAGACCCACATCGGCACCTGGCAGGTTCCCTTCCTAGCCCACTACCCGGACTTCCTGGCGGCCACCATCCTGCTGGTGGCCACTGCCTTCATTTCCTTTGGGGCCAAAGTGTCCTCCTGGCTCAACCACGTCTTCTCGGCTGTCAGCATAGGCGTCATCCTCTTCATTCTCATCATGGGCTTTGTCCTCGCACAGCCCAAGAACTGGGGTGCCCAGGAGGGAGGCTTTGCCCCGTACGGATTGTCAGGGATCATGGCTGGCACAGCCACCTGCTTCTACGCCTTCGTGGGCTTTGATGTCATCGCAGCCTCCAGTGAAGAAGCCAGGAACCCACAGAAGGCTGTCCCCAGGGCCATAGCGTTCTCCTTGGGGTTGGCCACCGGCGCCTACATCCTTGTGTCCATGGTGCTGACGCTGATGGTGCCCTGGCACACGCTGGACCCTGACTCTGCCCTGGCTGATGCATTTTACAGGAGAGGCTACTCCTGGGCGGGATTTCTGGTGGCCACTGGCTCCATCTGCGGTGAGTACACACCGGCTGGTGGAGGTGGGGGCGTGCAGACCCGGGGCTGGGAGGTGGGGTGGTTTGGGCAATGCACCCAATCTCACCTGGGTTCCCTTCCTCTGCCTGTCCCTCAGCAATGAACACGGTCCTGCTGAGCAACCTCTTCTCCCTGCCACGCATCGTCTACGCCATGGCCGAGGACGGGCTCTTCTTCCAGGTCTTCTCCCGAGTGCACCCCCGCACGCAGGTGCCCGTCATCGGCATTGTGGTCTTCGGGTTCCTCATGGCCCTGCTGGCCCTCGTCTTTGACCTGGAGGCCCTGGTGCAGTTCCTGTCCATCGGCACGCTGCTTGCCTACACCTTTGTGGCTGCCAGCATCATTGTGCTGCGTTTCCAGCAGCAGAAGGCAGGCGCCCCCACGCAGCCCGCTGGCAGCCGGCCCAGCCCCGAGCCCCGCGAGGGCCCCGCCACCGGCGAGCTGAAGGAGTACGAGTCCTTCTCCGACAAGCTCCAGCTGGTGGATAGAGACAAGAGCAAAGAGCACCGGGAGCCGGGGCAGCTGAAGGCAGCTTTCGAGCCCTACCTGGAGTTCCTCAGCGACTTCTACCCGGGCGAGGTGGTCACGGTGGCTGTGGTGACCCTGATGGTGTCTGCCGTCTGCCTCTGCTCCATCCTGGTGTTTGGCAACACCCACCTCCACCTGCCCACCTGGAGTTACTCCCTGCTGCTGGTCCTCTTCAGCCTGGGTTTCCTGCTCAGCCTCCTCCTCATCTGGGTGCACGAGCAGCAGCGCAGCACGCAGACCTTCCAGGTAGGTCTGGGGGCCGTGGGCTGGGACGAGGCAAGGTGTGAGCAGCGCTGCCAGACCCTGGAGAGGCTGCGGTCACCCTGACCTGGTGAAAACACCGCAGCTGGTGGCCGCGTCCTGGGAGCAGATGTGCCCGGGTTGTGCTGGGATGGGTGTCTTCCCCGTCCCTTTGATGGGGAGCAGCACACGCTGCCCTCGAGGGTCACTGTTGCCTTCCAGCATTCCTCCCCGTGTCCTCTGCAGGTCCTGGTCCTCCTTCTGCTCATCCCAGGTACCTCTCGAGCAGTCCAGGCATCTGGAAGGCAGTGTTGTTGCTCCCTGCCTGTGCTATCTAGCCAGGACCCTGTTGTCTCTGGGTTGCACTGGGTCTGCTTTGGTCCTCATTTCCCTGCCTACCCTTCCAGCCTGGCATACAGCCAGGAAAAAAAGGTTCTCAGAAAGCCCCAGTGACCAGGTACAAGTTGTCGTTCCCCACATTTGCTTGCCAGTGCCATTTTGTCTCTGCGGTTGTAAGGACAAGGACACGGCCCTACAGCGCGGCAGCTGTGCCTGTTCCTGGCAGGTCTCTCACCGATGGCTCTGGTTCTCTTGCAGATCCCCCTGGTGCCCCTGTCCCCAGCACTGAGCATCGTCCTCAATATCTATCTCATGCTGAAGCTCAGCTACGTGACGTGGCTTCGCTTCACAGTCTGGCTTATTTTAGGTGAGTGCTCTCATGGCAGCATGATCCCTGGGAGCCCGTGCTCCCTTCTGGGGAGAGGGAAGTGCCTGGTGTGGCTCTGGGGAGCAGGAGCAGGGCAGCAGTGGCCTCCCTGCTTTAAGCATCCCCTGTCGCATCCAGCAGAAATCTTCTGCATCACTCCTTCAGCATGTGGCGCTGACCAGAGTCATCTCCAGACAGGGGAAATCCCGGTTTCCTCCACTCATGCAAGGAAAATCCCTGGAATATCTTGGCCCAATCTGCCTGCAGGCCCCCCTGACATTTGAGATGTGTCCAGCACAGGGCCCAGCAGCTTGAGCACCATTGGGAATGGGCCACCAGGCTCGTGTCTGCCCGGACAGAGGGCACAGCACTGGCTTACCTGGGCTAGTGATGGTCCTGGCTAAAGGTCCTGGGGCTTCGTGGGATGGTCAGGGGGCAGAGGGCAGACCCGGAGCCCTGCTGCTTCGGGTCTTCCTCCTCCTCTGCTGCAGCCACTGCTCTCCATCTCCTTCTGCAGGCCTGCTCGTCTACTTTGGCTACGGCATCTGGCACAGCAAGGAGAACCTGCGGGAGCCCCAGCTGCAGCGTGTCAGCGCCCACTACGTGGTGTTCCCCAGTGGCAGCCTGGAGGAGACGGTGCAAGCGGTCCAGCCCAGCCCTCAGCCCGCTGCTGGGCTGCCAGACACGGACACCGATGAGGCCAAGAGATGACGCCCCAGGGGAGGGGGCAGCTGGGTGGCCACAGCTCTGGAAGCGCCTGCCCCCACCCCACGACAAAGCCAGGGACCCCCTTCTGCCTGGTCCCCTGGGTGCGTGGCTCCATCCAGGGAGGGCACGGGGACACTCGCCCTTCCCCGTGTGCTTACTGCAGAGTGTGGGGGGCTGGCTGCCTCCGTCCCCAGCCCTGGAACCGTGGCTCTTGGCCCCCAAAACCTAGTGCCTGCCATGCCCACGGGGAGCCTCGTACCTGCCGCCGTCCCCTGCGCGCACCCAGGGGCCGTGCAGCAAATCTCCCTTCTGCTGGCCCGTCCCCACAGCCCTGCACGGCCAGGGACACCGGGGCTGGGCCAGACAGCCCCGTGCTGCCCATCCCAGGTCTGATCCTGGTTCTTTCTGCAGCCCTGTGCTACCTGCAGCAGGAGCTGGCTGTCCCCTTGGCTGCCCCCACCTCTCCAGGGGCTGCTCTCCTGAAATACCAGGGCTGCGGGGGCTGCAAGGAGCGGCTGGGGCTGTGTGAGCTGGAGACGGGCTGTGGCAGGGTGCAGGCACCTCCTTCCTAGCCAGGACCATGGCAAAGCCAGCGTGGCTTGCATGGTAGGAGCCCTGCTGCCTCTTCCCAGCTGCTGGTGCCTGCTGGTTTGGGGTGTGCTGGAGGCTGGCGGCTGCACTGGGCAGACTGGGAGCCCGATTCCAAGGTCCTGTCGGGACAGACTTTTGCCCGGCCCTACAGGAGGGATGGGCGCTCAGGATCTTGTCCCCTGAGGTGCCAGCAACCTCCTTGGGAGCCTCCCAGCTCCCCCCTTCCTCTGCGCTCCAGCAGCTCATCCTACACCATCACCTGCATGGGCGCAGGCACTGCCTTTTGCTGGCTCCTGGTGGCTCAGGAAGGGCTCTGGGGGCGCTTTTTGGTGTCATCTCCTGCCCTGCACATGTCCCTGAGCGGTGGTGTTGGTGGTAGGGGGTCCCAGCACCCACCTGGCGAGGATGCTGTACTGGGCAATCCCTGCCTGAAGCTGAAGGTATCGGGGTTTTGGCATGTTTTGAAAGAGGCTGCTGATCCGCCAGGCCTCCAGCATGCACACCCTGCCCTGCCCTGCTGTAGGGTGGGTGTGCAGCATCCCCTGCATCCCCCCATGGGGTCAGCCCTGCCCTGGCAGGGAGCTGGTTCCCATTGCTCATCCCATCACACCCAGGGGTGCAGGGGCTCTGTGCAATCTGATGGCTCCTCGGTGACCCCCCCCCCTCAATGGCACAAATCTGTTGGCCCTGCCCATGTCCTGCTTGCCCCCTGCGCTGTCGCTGCTGCCGTGGGGGGGGGGCTGCTGTGTCCCCACCGTGCTGCAGCCCTGCTTGGCACCTCTGTGTAGTGGCTTGTGAGCAATGGGCTGACTCAGTCACCCTCATAAACACTGGTTCTGCAATGGCTCTGTGTGTGTGTGCTGTATGTCCCCCCATAGCCCGCCTCTGGAAGCTGCTCCCCCAGCAGGAAAGCCCCCAGAAGCTTGGGCAAGGGGAGTTTTGCACCACCTGTGAGAGCCTGAACCCCTTTCTCAGCTGCAAGGACGATGCTGAGCAGGGAAGTGTCTTGGCACCAAGGCAGAGGCTTTAATGCTGCCAAAAGTCATGACCCGAGCTGATGAGAGAACTTGTGAATCAGTGTAAATAATGTGAATTAAAAAGTCACAAGATAGCCTGTCTGGCCCCAGCCTCACCATCGTTCGCTAGTGAAGCTCCTTTCCCTGATAAGAAAGTGACTCTTAATTTAAAAAAATAAATAAATATTCAGCAGCTATCTGGGGAGGCAGATAGCTTTAAGTCTCCTTATCATTTGTTTCCTCTTAGCCTCCACTATAAATCTATTGTCTTCAAGATAAAGGCCAGCAGACAAAACAACAGCAAGATACCAGGGAGGGAGCCTGGCACAGGTTCACCTGACCAGGAAAGAAGTAAAACTCCTGGCAGAGCAGAGGAGGCTGACATTCGGATCAGCTTTCTGTTCTCTTTTGTCAGAAAGGTGCTGTCACTCCATGATATACGCTCAGTGGTGGCGGGCTGAGCTCACCCTGCATGGGTGGTGTTTGGTACAGCTTCATCTGCTGTGATGACCTCAGTGATGCCAAAGGAGCCACTAAGCCACTGCTACTTAACCTAGTTAAAAACGTTTATTTGTAAAAATGCAGAGAGCTTACAGTCAGTGTTGTGCTGTGCCATAAAAGCCACGTGTGGCTGTGGGGACTGCGCACGAGCATGGGCTGGGCAGGCATCAGGGAGTGACGTGGATGCAGCTGGCAGGGAATTAAAGGATCAAAACGTAATTAGTGGCAGCCTGGGAGGAGAGCATGCCCTCTTGAGCACATTCGTTTGTTTTTTTTTTGTTTGTTTGTTTTTACAGAGGATTTTAAAATTGGTCAGTTCATCTGTCCCATACAACATCCTATTGTACTAATGTGTCCTGGACAGAAGCAGAACATATATTAATTGATTTTAAATTGCTTACCTAATTATGCTCAAAACCAGCAAAGCCTGTTTTTATGTCAGCAGCCACTGACGCCAACGGAGCCCTCCCACAATGCTCCTAAAATTGTATCAGCAGGAGAAAAATCTAAACCAAAGCATGTCAACAGTGCTCTGAGATGCGGCCAGGCAAGCACCTTCAGCGGGGCTCAGCACGTGGCCATCAGCTGGGTGCAGGTGCATCAGAAATCATGGAAAAGATGTCAGCTCCCCTTCTGTATTCCCACACAGGTTAGAAAACAAACCACCCCCACGTGTGGCTCACAATTCACTTTCACAGGGCATGGGGAGAGGGGAGTTTGTTGTTTTACAGCAGGTGATATGATTTTCCATGGCAGTATCTTCCTCCAGATTAGTTGTTTAAAAGAAAAAGAAAAAGAAAATTAAGAAAAGGAAAAAGAAAACCACTTTTTTCTGAGACCCATGGCAACGGTCTGTTCAGCCTAGCTGGAGTTGGTGTAAATCAGTCTAACTCGAATATATCAGAGCGAAGTATGTAGGTCAGATATAAGGACCAGTGCCAGGGCTGTGGCAACCTGAAAGGGCTTTAGAGGTCGTGGGGCATAAGCAGTTCAGCACGTGTCCATGGCCAGGCTCTGCTCAGAGGGCTAACGGGATCCTTGGGGGATCATCCCCACTCGCAGCAGAGGCAGCAGGCAGGGAGAAGGCACTGCTGAAGTAGGAGGGCTCCTGGGAGCTGCCTGTTTGCAAAGGAGGGCAGTTACAGGAGGGAGGGCCGTAGAAGAAGATGGAAGAAGATGAGGGGAAATGTAAATTCAGATCAGGAATAATATGGCTTTGTACTAGGGAGAAAAGCGATGCCAGGGCTGCTTTACCTGGGAAAGGGTGATTTCACCGTTGTGACAGAGGTGGTGTCTCCTTCAGCCCCGAGATGCTGCCAAGGTTCAGACAGCTGTCGGAGGTTGTCCTGCCCCAGGCTGCCCCAGCCATGTCCAGAGATGACTGAAAGGGGCAGCTCTGGTGAATGTTGGAAAGAAACAGGCTCGCTGCTGCTGCCCACACAGCCACAGTGACTTGGGCTGCCTGAGCTTGGGAGGAGCAGGGATGCCACACAGCAAAGCAAGTTGCAGGTGCATCCCAGAGCTCCTTCAGCACTGACCCGGTTACAGACCCTGTCCACACTGGAGGGAAGGGAAAGGGAGCCCCAGATGCTGAAAGAGGGTGGTGGGCTGGTGCCCAGGACACACAGCAGCTCAATGCCCTGGTTAAGTCACTTCCCAGCCCCCAGCGCAGCTCTGCAAGCAGCACACACAAGCTGCAGGGCTCGTTTAAGGCTGGCTGTAAGTAATCCTCTTGTTATTCCACACGAGCCTCCCCTCCTCCTCCTCTAACAAACACAGCCAGAGGATGAGGTAAGCACCACGCTTCATTCCTAACAGCAGCAAACCTGCTTCTTCTGGCAGGTGGTGGCACAAACCGCGGGTGTCTTTGTCCCCCTTTTCCTTCCACAAGGTGCTGCCAACCAACGCAAGCAGCTGGCTTGCTGAGCCCATGGGCACCCAATGCATTGCAGAAGGCTTGTGCTTGCATTTCGGAAGCGTTTCAGCAGCCTGCATCTCAGCAGCTCCCCAAGCAAGGCTGCGTTTGGGCCACAGCTCTTCCCTGTCTCGCCACATGGTGCAGACATTTTCATTCGATTTGTCTAAGTACATGTACAACGTGGTCCCATCACAGAGGCTCCCCTTCATACAGCAACCATTGTCTCCAACCTCCCAGCCACAAAACTACCGATATTCACCGTACGCACAGAAGACGAGGCAAGAAGCAATGGACTTAAACTGTCACAAGGGAAATTTAAGTAAGAGACTAGCCATCGTTCCTCAGGGCGATGACAGCTTTGTCAGCTTATGAAATGTCTCTCAGATGCTTTCCAGGTCTGCAGGGTGCTGATCCCATGCTGGGAAGGACAACAGATTTCTCTCAATCCCTTCTGCCCCTGCCTAGCTTCCCACACCAAACTGGAAGTGCTTTAGGGCAGCACCAAGCACCATGGGCCCTGATGCTCAATGGGACATGAAACAAGGTGCCTTCCTGCTTGGCAGCACACCTGACAAATCCCTCCCTGCTCCTGACCTGCTTTTTACCTCCACAGTACTTAGGAAAGCACCCAGGCAAGCAGTCACCCTGACTGGATGAAAGTATCAGAGGGAATACTGCAGAAGAGATGGCAGCACCCACAAAAACTCTTTTGTGCTGGCAGAAAAGCTCAGATTCCTGTACTCTATCACCACTAACAATGATGTTTTTTAGTATCTACTATACCTTAATATGTTGTCATCACTGACGTGACCTGCACCAGAGGTGTTTCACATGGAACTGGCCAGTGAGCTTCCCTGGAGCTTTCACACCCATTTACCAGAAACAATTGGGCAGCTGAGGAAACGCCAGAACACTGCAAGAAGACAAGCTTGCTGAGCCTTCAGAGAGGTGAAGAGGTGCAAGGCGATGCCAGGCAGCAAACTGACACTGATCAAAATAAAAGCTGCTCAAGAATTAAGGAGAAGCTATCATTAATGCCCATTGATATGGATTTCTGTAACCTCTGTGCTTTGATGGGGTCAGGGGGTTACAAAAAGGCAGCAGTGCTGTTGTTCTACTATAAAGGCACTGAACTGCTACCTGAGATTTCTTAAGGGATCTTCTCTTGTTATACCACCTGGTAAATAGGAAAGAAATTGGCGTATAAGAATGCTTTACCTATCATATGTTTTGTTTTTTTTTTATATTATTTGAACTTGCATCCCTCTTTTGGAGAGTATAAAAATGGCTATGTGCAAAGGAGTTAAGAGAAACATTAAATGATGCCTAATTCAACACATGGAATTTTAATCTTGAGGGAGTGCCAGGATAGTTATGAAATTTCTAGAAACAAACAATATTTACAGAACTTAAAACATGCAAGAGACCTCTCCAAGTGGTGTGAACAGTTTATGAGTCCAAGGCACAGATGTTATGTATTACATACATAAATGTAAAATAATGTGTGCATGTATAGGACAGTTTCCATAAGGCAAATAGTAACAGCATAGAGAAATTTCCAGATAAAAAAGTTAAAACTCATCTTCAAAAAAAAGCATAAAGCAAAACACAGGGCACCAGCCAGCTACTCTGGGATGAGGCTGGCAGAAGAGTCTTGAATTCCAGCCCCTGCCTTAGTGAGCTGCCTTCTCAGGGAGGTGTCACTGCTCCCCTCCAAGAGAGCACTGCCTTGAACCTCATCAGTCAGCCTGTTAGCTGCAGAGAAATCCAAAACCTTAACACACCTTGGGACAGACAAGGCTTGCCTAGCTGGAGACCCAAATAAAGCCAACATTGGTGCACACACTCTGCCAACAATGCCTGCAAACCTTCGGGAAATTAGGAAGACAATGATAATGTATATGGCTGTGCAGCCATAAATAGGGTAAGGTGGCACTGAACACTGCTGGGAGCCACCTGCACCTCCAGCCCATGCCAGACATCCAGATGGTTTCGTGTGACTGTCCTCAGCAACTTTCTCTCCCAGGCTGCCAGAAATTGCTGCATGAAACCACTTCTCATGGAGGCCAGGAGAGGGAGAGTTAAGCCCAGCTTAACTGCACAACCCTGTGACTCTTCTCCCACCACACGCTGCTCCTGAAGGCACTCATAACCCATCCCTGCCACCCCAAACCCAGGAAATAACAATGCCAGTCATGACCTAGGACAGGGTCTTTACCCTGGAGAGTATGGGCTCCTCATAAGGCTAAGGAACTGCAGTAGGAGGCAGCTGAAAATGAGTCACCAGTGCATCTGACAGCCAATTCAGCAAAAGCAATCCCGGCTGTATAGCAGGAGAACAAGCCTAAGACAGAAAGCATCTGTTCACAGCACATCTCTGAACAGGACTTTACTTGCTACGTAAGCACACCGCGCTCTTGAGCTGTGCAGACCCCACTGCAGTGGGCCATGGATCTAAACAACAGCAGCCACAAGCAGCAGCTGTGGCACGTTGTGTTCTGCCAGCTGCTCCAGACAAACGCCTCTAGATAGAAAGATAGATGGTAAGATGATAAACGTTTCTATGCAGAAATGTCTCTATGCAAAGAGAAGCCATGGAGTCTCATCCATGGAGATGTTCTTGCATGTGCTAGAAGAGACTCAGAGCTGGACACAGCAGAAATCTTAAAGTAAACAGATACAAAAAGTTCCAAGTGACAGCCATGGTGAAGTAGCCAATAATTCCAGATTTTGCTTTCAGCAGTACCCCAGGGCATTCCTGTGTCACAGCTTTGGTTAGTGGTACTGGGATGTTAGGCTGAAGTGCTGAAGCAGTCCCAAAGAGACTCACGTTAAGCCACTGTATTCTGGGAATTACCCACCACTTTCATCTGAGTCTGAAGCTCGACCTTCAACTGACTCTTCCTCTGCAACTTTGTGTTTCCACCATGTCTGAGAAGTAGATTTGGAAAAAGTATTTTCACAGCATCACACAGCTCTGCAAACTCTTTGCTCACAGGTATGTCCTAGAGGGGAAAATCAATGCAGGTAAGCAAGTGCATGTTATGATTTACCATCCCTCAGGAAAAAAAAAAAAATAAATTAAATTAAAATAAAATGAAATTAAAAATAAAATTAAATTAAATTTAAAATAAAATTAAAAATAAATTAAAATAATATTAAAAATAAAATAAAATTTAAAATAAAATAAGATATTGCAACATATTCTGTGCTCTCTCAACCCAAATACAAAATTCTACCACAATCTTGTGAGATCTGAGACTGTTAGCCAACACCACCACATTATGGGTAGGTATGAAATTTGAGCAGCAGGATCCTGCTCCCCTTCTCTGGCAAGAAGCACAAGAGCTAAGGTGATGATGGAAGCAGCACAGGAATCGAAGAAAGATATGGGTGCAAGCTCCTCACAGCACTACTGAAAGACAACGAACTAAGGCAGATAAAGGTGGGAAATGCCCTGTCCAACCATAGCTTAGCTTCATGAAAAATAGAACAGAAATGCCTCCGAAACTATTTGCATCATCAGAGTAAACAGAGCTCAGGTTACTCAGGGAACTTCTGAATTCAAAGGCCAGATTCCTCCCACCTTTGTGCTGAGAGGTGAGCCCTGCTTCTGCCACGCACTGCTGCTACCCAGAGCATTGAGTAATGCCCTGTTTGGTGCATTCATGTACCTCATTTTGCTACACACATGCTAAGTGGGGCCTAGGCCCAGATGTTTCCACATTTCCAAGCTGGGGGCCACTCCCAGTCCTCACTGGCCTACAACAATGCCAGAGCTAGAATCCCTCTGGCAGCACTTTGTCATTCACATACTGCACATGCAACTTCTTCCCTCCCCTCCCTCTTCTTTCTGGTGTAACACTTACTGGCAGATCCAGGATCTCCACACCAGTGCCAGGATTTGCCTGGAGAGCTTTGAGGACCCCACAGCAGCCTTCATTCTGCATGGGATTTCTGATCATCTGAAAAGAAACAGCAACAAGATGTATGACACCTCTTCTCCTCCCTGTTTTTCTTTGTCACCATGGAAGCTTCAACTTATCTCTTCAAGCTCTGCTTGTCACCCTCCCACAGCAGCAGCCAACCATCAGTCACACGTTCAAAGCCTCCTCACGGCCAAAGGGCAAGAGACACGAGCTCCATGTCCCAAAGAGAACAGGCTGCAGAAATGGCTCGTAGTTGAACACAGACACCCCCAGGAGTCCACCCTTGAACAGAATGGTGTTGCAATGCACAGAGGAATAGTAGCCACAGCCCAGGAGCCCCCACATCAGCACAGCCTTGCTGCTGGTCCAGCTGCACAGAAAGGGCACTGATGATGCTTGAATGTGTCAGGACAGGCTGTGGTTCACACCGTGGCAAGCTCACAGAAAATCTCTGTTCACAGAAGAAACTGCTGGATATGAGCGCTCTGTCTCAATGAGCAAACTGCAGGGAAACACGGGAGGAGATGGGCTGGGGCAAGTGGCTCCCTGATTTTGCTGAGGGTTTGCTCTCAGAGGTTCTAAGTCAGGACATGCATGCATCAGTGATACTTAAACACCCATAAGAGGCTCGAAGACCTTCATAGGAAAGTTACTTACATTGAGAGTCTTTAGAGTCTTGTTTTCTTTCAGGCCAACTGCAAATCGCAGAGCTCCTTCCACCGAGATACGATTATTGCTAAAAACAGATAAAAGGAATGCTTCACACTCTGAGATGATCCAAGTATATACATGTGTTGGGAGGCTGGAACTGGCGAGGAGTTACCAACTCCAGCAGCCTGATAGAGGCATGGCTGCCACAGCTCCATGTCCCCAGGTTCAACAAGTGGTGAGGCTCACCATTTCCAGTAGGCAAATACACAAACATAGAATATAGAATGGTTTGAGTTGGAAGGGACCTTAAAGATCATCTAGTTCCAATCCCCCTGCCATGGACAGTGATGCTACCCACTAGATCAGGTTGCCCAGGGCCTCCTCCAACATGGTCTTGAACACCACTTGTACACCACTCATCACTGGCCTCCACTTGGACATAAATCCATTGATCACTGCTCTCTGGGTGCCAACAATTTATCCACTGAACAGTCCATCCATCAAATCCATATCTCTCCAATCTGGAGACCAGGATGTCATGTGGGACTGTGTCAAAGCAATATATACAAAATATGCAACATATACGTGCATGGCTGGGCACACGGACCAACAGAGACAGAAATTCAATATTCATACTTTGTCCCTCTCTATTTCAATGCTTGCTCCTCCCCAAACCACCTGTATCTCTTTGACTGCCTTTGGTTTCTCTCCTAAACAGTTTCATCAGTCAGGCCAATTCGCTCATGACTCATTAAATCAGATATTCTTTACTTTCCAGGAGCATCCTGGAAATGCCCACTAACCCTGTGCTCTCACAAAATGGTCAACTGTCAACCCATCTGCAGGGTTTGATACTCTGCACAGTTCCTCCTGCTCCAGCCTTCCTCCGTCATGTTATTGTCACCCAGAATCATTTCTAATTAGATTAAACTCTCCATAGTTACACTCCTATAAACACAAGCTTGCACCACAGCCTTCCTCTTACCATCTTTGTCTCCTCTTTTTTTTTTTTCCTTCCCTGCGACAACTTCCACCTGTCATATTAATGACTATGAACTTGTTGAGATCTCAGCTTCTTGGCTGCCTGGCTTCCATTGCTGTTTCACAAGCAATCCAGTCCTAAGCATGCCTGCCTACAAGCCATGTGAAAACAGAGGCAATGGTCCAGTTCCTGTTCCAAGCATAAGATTTTTCTCTCGTGCTCTTAAGCCTCATTTCTGCAGGTTCTAACAAGCTGTTTTTTCATAACTGATCAATAATCTCATCAAGGCCCCTCTACCAGTTACAGCATTCCTTTCTCTCTTGTTGTAAGTTTCGTTGTTGTAAATTTTGATCCCATCCTTTGCCTCTCATACCGATCTCTTCTTAAAGTATCTCCTGTCTTTGGACTGCGAGGCTGATGCAGAACTGGTGCCAAGGAATATGCAACTGGGAGATGGCAGAAGAAGTAACACAGATCAGATTTTATTGCACCACAAGCTTAAGGATAGGAAGTGGCACTTGGGATGAGACCAGAAGCACTTGTATTTTGTGGTGTTCCCCCTGCCTTACGCACCTATTACCCTCTGGGGTAGGAGATACCAATGGCTGCTGCAGACTTTGCTCACCACATCTGATCTCAGTGCAAAATGGGAGAAAATGTGGAGAGGGACCAGAGTCAGACTCACCTAATGTTGAGCTCTTCCAGTACATTGTTGGTTTTGAGAGCCTCCCCCAAGGCAGCTGCTCCACTGTTGTCAAAACCATTGTAGGAAACATCCAGCACCTTGAGGAATATGTTTGCCTGTAGTTTGACATAATCATACAACTTAAAATCTTAAAATTTCCCTATTGCTTGATGCAAGCTTGAACAGACTATTTCTGTGGACTACTATCCCTCCTATTGTCCAAACAGTAGTTGGAGGATTGCTGCACTAGTCCTTGGATGGCACGTGCAATTTGTATTATTAAATTACTTTAATGGCCCCTTTCAGCCTAAGAGACTACAAGAACTGTTTCTTATTTTAATGAGAAATTACTCTTTTTTAGTAGAATAAAACTGTATATTGAATAAAAAAACAATTTCTGTCCTGATTTATGAATCAGAAGTGCAATGAAACAATTCAAAACATTCATTACAATAATGTTTACTCTAAAAAGGGAGAGAAATAGAAATAGAGAAATGGAAACGTAATATGTCAATAAACAATGGATAATTTTACACCCTTAGTTTCAAGGTGTGTATGATCCCAGATCAGAGATGGCCAGTAGACAGACAACAGCATCATGCAAACAGCACACGATGAAATTCACGCTCATTAAAACAGACAAAGCTTCATGTGAGATTTCAGAATTTAAAAACAGGAGAGAAATCCATTTCCTACCCCCAAGCCTCTGGCCAAAGCAGCTGCCCCTTCACTATGGAAATGGTTCCAGCTGATTTTAAGTTCCTTTAGTCCAATGTTTTCTGCTATTGCCATTCCAAGAACTTCACCTTAAGAAAAATATATGGTGTTGAACAGTTTAAGAATTAAACTAATTAGCTGCTTTGCAAAGGAGGAAGCTTGAGTTAGGTTAGGTATATTTCTGCAACTGTCTGTGTTACCTTTGGGCAGGCGATTAGAACTAGAACATATTATTTTCTTTTATACCTTGTTTACCATAGACACAAGTAGAAGCTGCCAGGCAATAAAGTGAATGTGTTCTCTGACTACAGGCTGCAAATGTAGCCTGTGAAGGAAAAATCCAATCACCATGCAACAGCCAGGATCTTCTGCTCATGCTCCAAGAGCTGACTGCTCATTCTCCAGCCTGATGGGACTCTGAAAGCTGAAACCCAGTAACAGGTAGCCTCCCACAGCCTCTCCTGCTTCCTGAGCTCTGGCCCCCAGCCAACGGGTGACACAGAAGCCAGCTCTGTTCTCTAACCACACCCGAAGCTCTGAAACCTGAAGAGACTTTCTCAGTAAATATTCTGCAAGCACCTGATGGAGCAGGAAATAAATGAGGTCAGCAACAAGCACAGAAGAAATAGAAGCCATGGCCATGCCTGAAGACCAGAAGGCAGGAGAGCTGTTTGACTGTAAAGGCAGCAGGAGGTCAGCAGAATGGACAGCAGGAGTGGAGAGAAAAGCAGCCCTTGCAGCCTTCAAGGTAATAATGAGAAGGGAAAAAAATAAAATAAAAATAAAAATAAATAAAAATAAAAAGAACCCAAGTGAAAAGCTGGTGTCTTCCCAGTGACCAGAAGAGATGAGGATTATGGTTGTTTCCTCTCTTGTGAGCCAAAGAAGACATGAAGGATCTTCAAGGGGACTATATCAGGTGAGATGTGTGAGGATACATGATTGTAAAGCAGTAGGTGGAGAGAACACGGTGGGTTTTTCACAAAAAAACACAACCAGGGGTGGGGAGGAAGAACATGGATCTGACAGACTGCACGGGATGTGGCATGGGAGAGCAGAAATTCAGTTTCTCCATTTTCAAGCCTGTATCCATCACAGACAGAGTTGGAGGTAGCTTCTGTAGCATCCTTCTATATGCAAGGTACACAGACGGCACTTTACCTGCTTTGTCACCAAACCTGTTGTAACTCAGATCAAGAATTTCCACTTTGCTGTTTGCTGTGATGGCATCTGCTAAATACTTTGCTGCATGGTCATCAAATTCATTTCCTGAGAGCTGGAGGGACACAATTGTATTGTTTTCTAGAAGCATAGCAGAAAGGGCCTTAGCTCCCTCAGTGCCCAATTTGTTGTCAGATAAATTGACATCTGAGGAAAAAAAAAAACAAAAACATTATCAGATCATTAAATAATACCATAACAGTTGTCAGGAAGGTGCCTGACCTCTACGCTTTAATGGCAGAAGTAGTGTCAGGCTCAGAAAGTAAGAATGATGAAAACTGGTCTAACGCAGTATTTTAACAGGAAAAACAGAACTTCGTTTTTCAATTCACAACCTGTCCCTAAGAAACAGCCCTCATTCATGTTCCACACATGAACACAGAATGAGTCGGAAGTGCAGAGCTGGTGCAGAACCCTCCTCCCTGGCCACGTGTTTAACTGCGAGTGGCTGCTTAATTTATGAAAGGGGAGAATATTGACCCTGGAAAAGCAGGGACTGAAAACAAGATCTCTAGACACAGCACTGCCCAAATGAGACTTAACTATGAGGAAGCAGTGCTCTGCTTTTGCTCCCAAGTTACACAGAATTATTAGACATGAAGGGTCTCTGGGAAGAGCAGATGAGTGCTGCTGCCTGAACAAAGGCTTGAGATTCAGTGTAGATGTGCTTCTCTTTCACCTGTCCCTACTTAGAAGCTGTCTTCCTAGATGGCAATCCTGCAAATCCTACTTACAGAGCCTTAACCATTACTAACTATAACCTCTGAATGGTCTAAATTTCAGGTGCATGCCTTTGATCCACAACCAAAGCAAAAATTTGCTCTTTCTCCTGATAACTCTTTGCAGGAAGAACAGGACTGAGCTGACTCCAGGCAGTTAAATCATAACTTCCAGTAACGAAATCATAACTTCACAAAAATAAAGACAGATACAGATCCACAGACACAGATAGAGAAAGGTGAGAAAGCACCACAGTTTTAAACACTCACTGTTCAAACAGCACCTCAATTCCCTTATGCATTTCACAAAAGCAGTCACCAATATAGTGTGATTTGGCTAAATTCACAAACCCAGCACAATTTCCTCCTCTACAGCACAGCAGGAACAGATGCACCAGAGAAGAGCAGGAAGGATAATACAAACCTGAAATGTAGCAGTTTTCTTTCAGCATCTCTGCAATTGCAGCCGCCCCTTCTCCCAGCAGCCAGTTGTCACCCAGGTCTAACTTGATGATGGAGGTATCAGCCACCAAGGAAAGAGCTAAGGCCTTGGCACCCTGTAACAAAAACCTCACAGTGGGTCATTTACGGTTTCACCAGGTTCCCGAAGCTCTGGTGAGCTTTCCTGTGTCAGCTCTTAGCCTGGCAGGGATCAGGGGGATTTCACAAAGCAATCAGCAGGATTCAGAAAAAGATCCCCCTTCCAAAATAATTTAAAAATGGACTGGGAAAGCAAATGCTGAATATGGCTTACATTGAGGAGATTTCATTTATCTTGTCAATTGTGAATTAAGACCTCCTTCCATAAAAATCAGGAAAAATGCTTCCACTGACAATATTCATGACGTAGAGGAAAACACCCTAGCCTGTGTGCCTTTCTGGACATCACTTCTACCTGGCAGCCTGTGTGCACAGCCAATATGAGCACCCCCTCTGTTTATCGCAGGCTGCTCTGACTCCTGATCTCCACATGTAAGAAGCTTGGGTGCAGCCAATATCAAAGGAAATTTTTCATTTCAAAAAAAATCCCTAGAATTAAACAGAAGTGTTGCAATGATCTTGTGATTACTCAAGTTACGTTCTCCAGCCCTGGGTATCAGATACAGGAAATGAACTAGACGGAGGCTCAGAACTGTTGCAGATGAAATAAAATTAACAGAGCAAATGGATTTATCAAAAATTACTAGGAAAGGCTGTGCCCTTTTTGTGGTCCAAATGACCAAAATGCCGTGCACACTGAAAGCAGCTTTCATCAGTAGAAGTAGCCAACAAGAACCAATGTGCACACTTAAAAATGATTGTAATTTCTTGTTTTGAGGCACTGGAACAGGTTGCCCAGAGAAGCTGTGGACGTCCCATCCCTGGAAGTGTTCAAGGCCAGGCTGGATGGGGCTTTGAGGTGTCCCTGCCCATGGAAGGGGGGTTTGAACTCAATGACTTGTAAGGTCCCTTCCAACACAAAGCATTCAAGGATTCTGTGATTCTTTAAAATGCTGGGGTTCGAGATATAAAATGCAGGACACCCCAGGGGAGACTGCACGCTCCCAGGCAAAGCTCTCGATCCCAAGGGAAGCGTGCCAAAGCGATGTTTGTACATCTCACCCTCCAGGTCCCGGGGAGGAGACGCCTTCCTTCCCTGAGCCCCCCCACTGCCACTGCTCCCCAAAGCCAGGTGCCAAATGGGAAGGGGGGATAATGAGGAAAGGGGGGATAACAGGGGAAGGGGGATAACAGGGGAAGGGGAGATAATGGGAAGAGGTAACAGGAAGGGGGGATAACAGGAAGGGAGGACAACGGGGGAAGGGGAATAACGGGGAGGGGGGATAATGGGAAGGGGGAATAAAGGGAGGAGATAATGGGAAGGGGTGATAACGGGAAGGGGGATAAGGGAAAGAGGGGATAATGGGGGAAGTGGGATAATGGGAAGGGCAATAATGGGAAGGGGGGTTAACAGGAAGGGGGGATAATGGGGGCAGGGGAATAATGGGAAGGGGGGAATAAAGGGAAGAGATAACGGGAAGGAGGGATAAGGGAAAGGGGGGATAAGGGAAAGGAGGGATAACAGGGGAAAGGGGGAGGGGAAGGGAGGATAAGGGGGGAAGGGGGTTAATGGGAAGAGATAACAGGAAGGGGGGGGTAACGGGAAGAGATAACGGATGGGGTATCAGGAAGGGGGTATAACAGGGCAGAGGACAGAAGGCGCAGACCACCCCCGGCCCACTGTAGGCTCCCCTCACCCGCGGGCCCAGCCCCCGGTGCCGCAGGGGGATGGCGGTGCCCGGCGGCCGCCGCAGGAGGCAGGAGGCCGGGCTGACGCCGCAGGCCCGGCACGCCGCCAAGTACGAGCTCCCCCCAGCCGCTCGGGGGGCTGCCAGAGGGCCGGGAGGGCAGGGAGAGGCTCGGAGAGCTTCACCAGGAGCCTCAGAGGTGCCCGAGGGCTCCTCCGCCGCCATCTCGTGAGCCGCTGTGGGGCCCCGCACTGCTGCTGCTGCTGGTGGTGGTGGTGCTGCCATGGCGGCGGCGCTGTGCTGCGGGCTGCTGGACTACAAGACGGAGAAATTCGCCCTGACACGGAACCGGCGGGTCGGGCTGCTGCACCGCCTGCTGCAGCTCGCTGTCTTGGGCTACCTGCTCGGGTAAGGGCGAGCGGCTCCTTCCCCACAGTGGCCGGGTTGGGGTGCGGGGATGGGCTCATTGCGCCGCACCGTCCCGTCCCCAGGTGGGTGCTGGTGGTGCGGAGGGGCTACCAGGACACGGACGCGGCCCCTCACGTCTCGGTCATCACCAAGATGAAGGGGGTCTCGGTCACACGGAGCAAGGACGCGAGCAGCCGGCTCTGGGATGTGGTCGATTATGCGAGTCCTCCTCAGGTAGGCACCGATCCCAGTCCCGGTCCCGATCCCAGTGGGTCCAGGGTGAGCACTGCAAGGCTGTGGTAAGGGCCCCGTGAAGGGAGCAGCTCCACAGCCAGCAAGGATTGCAAGCTCCGAAGCCTCCTGGAAAACCATACCAGTGTCGACGCAGCACTGAAGGTGTCTTCTTGCCTCCTAGGGGGAAAACGTGGTTTTTCTGGTCACCAACTTCATTGCCACAGCCAAGCAAGCCCAAGGCACCTGCCCCGAGGTAAATGAGCCGTGCTGTCGGGTAGCCTAGGCCTGCGATGTGTACAAGGGACAAACGCGGCTGATTTCCCATGTTCTAGTTGCTCCAAATTTTGCCTGCTTGTTTGCGCTCACTCGCCTCCCTGCATGAACCAAGGCACGTAACTGAGCAGTCCAGCCAGGACCACTTGAGACCAGAAGGACAAGGGACATGGGCTGTTGGGTCCTCCACAGCTGTCTGGACTTCCTGAAGGTTGGTGATGCTGCATTGCCTCATCCTTATTCCATATGTCCTAGCATCAGCACCATCATCGCTCCAGCCCTGGCTGATACTTTTCTATTACCTGTGTACCTCCTGCAGTCACGTATGTCTTTGACTCCTTCACTCGCTGTGAAGACTTGCTTCTCTTACCTCTGTTCTGCTGTTTTCTGTGATACTTTTCAACACACACTCCATGGACACCTCTGTTTCCTTTTTAATACCCTACTGCAGTGCTAGTATCTATTCATCATAGTGTCCTGCTCTTAGGAGGAATGGAACACAAGGGCTAGGTGGTTTCCCAATCAGCAGTCACTCAGTGGCATATATTTAGTGAGAGAAATCTTCCCAGTAAGGCTGGATTCAGGCCAGCCAGCTCTCCCAGGCTGGACCCTGTTTGGTAGACAGGAGCAAATGTTCTTTAAGCTAAGCCATTGCTGTCCCCTTGTGCCAGAGCCAAGCACTGTTTGTCCTAATGCTCCTCTTGGCTTTTGCTGTGGGCTTCTGTGCGGCTCCCAGCTCGAGGATTCCTAAAGCACTGATAGCTGCAGGGGTGTCCTCAGAGGAAAATGTATGCCATAGAGTGTTTCAGAGCTTTGGCGTGGGTGGTCACTGGCATTTCTGGATGCTTATTTTTCCAGTCTGCCAGCCAGGTAGACAGCAGAGCATTTAATCCTGATGTTGATTGTCTGGATGCCTGTGAGAGCCTTCACCCTGTGTTGCTCTCTCTCCAGTAGCTTCTCAGTCCTGGTTTTCAGGCTGTAGCTGAAATGTCTGTTTGGAAAGCTTTGAAAATATAGCAGTGGCCGCTTTTGAGAATATCCTCCTGCAAAGTTTAATTACCAAAGTACTCCTTGCTGGCAGACCAGGGAGCAGGTGCAGCTGGATGCAGGGCAAATTAACACAAAGGTGTGTTCTGATTGACTGATAAGCATTTGGCAACGTGTGCATTACTGGGTGATTTTGTTCTTGGCACTACCCAAGTTGCAAAACAAAAGGGAACTTATGCTGAAGTCATAGCCAGCACCCTCACACAGGTGAGGGTTTTTTAGCAGGTGATGTCTGTGCTGAGCTCAGTGGCATGTCTCCTAGGGAGAGCATTCCATACTGATCAGCAGTTGCTTCTGATAAAGATTAAGAGTAAAGTAATTCCCTACCCTAGAAAGAATATTTATTTTTTATTTAGACTTTCAGCTCTGAAGTTTCAACAGTTTATGCGCAGCAGGTCTCAGCTGTTCACACAAGCATTTCTGCCCCTTTCTGAAATCACTTTTGTCCCAGGAACAAACATGCTGTGAACTCTGAGCAACACCTGAGCGTAGAAGCTGAGCTCTGCTGTGACCACCTTGGGGGATGTCTCCCGAAAAAGTGCAGTTGTTGATGGCATTCAACATGCATGGGGAGGTGCTTCTCTGATGGGCTGGTGTTTCCTGTGATGGTCAGGGAGTAGCTGGGGAAGAATGTTTTCTTTATTCCCCTACCTGCCATCATCTCCATGCCCTTTGGAGATGCCTCCCTCCTCAACCTGCAGGCTGCCCAGGGTGCTGTTTTGGAAATGGTGCATGTCTCTTGTAAGTGTTGGGAACATGCACAGAGGAGCAACTGCACAGAAATGTGGGTAAGTGGCTGCGTGGCCTTAACTGGCTGCGCAGCAGAGTAACAGCACTTCTGTTCTGTCTCTCTCAGAGCCCCTCTGTGCTAGATGGGATGTGCACAGAAGATGTGGACTGTCCCGTGGGAAACCCAGTGGTTCATGGCAATGGTACTGGGTGTTTTGCTAAAAATAATAGTAATAATTAAAAAGTTTTAATTCCTCATGCTTGTTAAACAGATTCACAGAGGTGCCTAACTGCACAAGTTCAGTGCTTTTGTAAGTGTGCACTGAAGGTCTTTCCAACCATTTATTCTTGACAAAACCTGTTACTGCCAGGAGAACAGGTGGTTCTGGCAAAAGCTGCTGTCAGCAGCAAATATAGAGTTGCTTTGTTTTTGATGTTGGCTGCTGGAATTGCAAACAATGTGCTTTGTGTTCGGCAGGTTTTCCTTTCATAATAAAACCTGGATTTTATTTCATGCTGATTAATATTAGAAAGCCATGTGAGTTCACCTAAAAAATTTCACCTTTAGGTTGGTTGACAGAGCTTTGTGTGCCGGATTACCCCCTGCAAATTGTTTCCCTCCAGGGAGTAGGTGGCTTCAGCAGCTGCCGGGCAGGAAAGGCACTGCTGGACAGGCACCGAGTCAGCAGCAGCACCCAGTTTCTTTGTCTTTGTAAAACAACCACCTGGCCTTGAAGGGAGAGTTTCACAGCAAAGTTTTTGGATGGGGGAAAACACTGAAGATGATGCCAGGGTCATCTTTGTGGTTCAGGAGCTGTAGAGGAAACGTTTCATTAAGAGAGTGGTAAATGATGCACATTGTCTCATTTCTAGGGATAAAAACTGGAAAATGTGTGATGTTCAACGCAACCCATTCCACCTGTGAGATCTATGGCTGGTGCCCCGTGGAGAACAACACCCTGCCCAGGTACAGTACAGGGTCAGAGGATAGCGGGTGGCAAGAGCAGTCTGAAGAGCAGTGCTTTGATTTCTGCCTTTTGTGGTCTGCATAATTGGTATCCTGATCCTACCTGCCCAGAGGTAGCCAAGCTGTGGGTGGTCTTTGACCGTGGTATTGACTTACTGGTCATTTAAGCCCAGAGGACTTCACACAAGAACAATTGTCCATAGTAGCCCAAGTCCTGGGATCATGGAAGAAACTGTAGAGCGAGGGGAATGGGGACATGTCTTGGCCACTGTGCAAAAACTGAGTTCATTGGTGGTTGTTTTCCAGGAAACCTCTTCTGGCTGAGGCTGAGAATTTTACTCTTTTTATAAAAAACACCGTCAACTTCACCAAATTTAACTTCTCCAAGTAAGTACGATGCCCTTCAGCAGGGACTGTGTTTGCAGCATGGTCCAGCCTCTGTGCTGAGCTTGTCTGCCCAGAGGCCGAGCAGGCAAGATGTACCAAGAGGCCGTGGTGCCACAGGGCAGGTGGCTTGGGCAGTGAAGGTTCAGGGTGATGTGTTCAGGAGAATGCTGGCTGCTTTGGCTGCATATGTTTTTGCATATGTAAGAGCCGTGGGATGGGGAGCCCCAGAGGGATTGCTGACCTGTCTAGAGCACTGCAAGCAGAGCAGAAGGCCAGTCATTCCCAAGGCCTCATTTTGCCTCATGTTTTTGCATCTTAGTCCCTGCAAGTGCATATATTGCTGAGGGAGTCATTAGAGCTGTGATTTACCAGTCATCTAAATACGAGACCTTAGCCTGTCTTGAGCGTAGCCTGAGGCAGTGTTGTCTGCCTCCCTCATTTTATAAGCAGGTAACAGTGTTTTTCACCCTCTATAGCAGCACACTTCCTTGACTGCCTGCTTGAGTGCACAGCTCCCCTTATTGGTGGGAGAGGGGGGCTGGTGCCTGCAGGGGATGTTGTACAGGCAGAGAGGAGAGAGAGGAAGGATGAAAATGCAGCCCCAGTGCTGCCTTACTCTGGCAAGAAAAATGGTTTGGGTAGCTGAACTGCTCCTGCTGTCACTCTAAGAGCTAGAGCTGGCTCATTACATCTCACAGGGTGCCTGACACCATGGGAGCAAGGTGCCAGGGGAAGAAAGAAGCATGAAGGCAGAGGTGGGGGGGGGAGCTGGGAGAGGAAGGAGCCCAGGCTTGACAAGGGGCGAGACTGTGTGTCCCTGAAGCAGGAGCATTTCCCCCATGCATCACTCTTCGGGGACACTGGGACCTGTGGAAGGGTGTCCTCAGTCCCCCAGCAGATCACCATGGCCTCCCACACCCTGCTGTACCCATGACATCTCTCTCCCTCTCCTGTTTCAGGGGCAATACTTTGCAAACCAACGACTCCACCTATTTCAAGAGCTGCACATACGATCCATTTTTCAACCCTTCCTGCCCCGTGTTCCGTATTGGCGATGTGGTAGAGGCAGCTGGGGAGACCTTTGGGGATCTCGCACTGCTGGTATGTGCTTTTCCTCTTAAAACATGGAAGAAAACTGCAAATTTCCCAAGGGTGTGGGTAAGGCAGGGGCTGGACTGACCCTTGAAATGCGAACGGCATGGCCTGAACTCTCTGTGATCCGTGAAAACCTTAACAGCAGAGAACTCAGCAAATCTCTGCTTGCTGGAGTAAAATGTGTGTTGGTGTGCTGCAGGGAGGAAGCATCAGCATTCGCATCGAGTGGAACTGTGACCTGGATCAGCCCAGTGCCCGGTGCCAGCCGCAGTACTCCTTCATCCTTGTGGACAGGAGGTACAATTTCAGGTGAGAGTGCCAGGACAGTGGCCACATGGGTGCTTAGGATGAGCACACTGCAAAATCACTCAAGATCTTGGTTTTCCAAGAGCAGCAGGGCTAATGGGAACCGGTAACCTAGCTTAGGGTTTGTCAGGTGCAGAGTGCCATGGCATTTTCGGGACCTCATAACTGAGCTCTGCTTGGAGGTGCACAAGCCATGACCTGGCTGAAGGCAGGGACGTGTGGCTGGCCGTGGTTGCTCTGGGAGCTGCTCACAGTGCCATGCTCCTCAGCTGGGTGGTGAGCCTGCTGCCAAAGCCAAGCTTGGGAGATGTGGCAGCACATGCATCACCCACAGCCCTGTCTGCTGGAGGAGGCAAGGTGTGCGCAGGCACGTAGCGTCCACGGGAATCATGTGGCTCTGGCAGGAGTCCTCCTCCCTCACCCTCCCTGTGCAGAATGGTGGTGGTTTCCCGAGCTTTGTCCAATGTGTCTCCCACAGAACGGCCTCTTACTACTGGGACTCCCAGAGGCGGCCCTACCGGAGCCTGATGAAACTCTACGGCATCCGCTTTGACATCTCCGTGCACGGCCAGGTACCATATCGCTGGGAGACCCCGCACGCACAGAGCTGTCTTGCTTTTCACCAGCAGCGACTGCTTGCTCTGCTCACTGCTGCTCCCTCCTGCCACTGAGCCCTATTGTCATCTTTTGGTGGTGTTTCTCCTCACCCTGGTGAGTTCTTTACCTCTTTCCAGAGTTTTATTTCCCTCTGGGTTGATCGATGGAGGATAGCAGGAAAAAAAACAAAGGTCTCTCCCATGTGAAGAGCAACTTTTCACTTGAGGAGAGACAAGCATAGACTGTAGGGCAGGGTGCACCATTTCTGGGTGGTGAGACCAGGTCAGGGAAAGTGTGGAGAAGGAGAAAATAACCAGGAGAGACACAGGTACCCAAATATATATATATATTTTTTTTTCCCAGAGGTGTCAGACCCATTTGAGCAGAGAGAGACGCATCGCATCAGGGATGTTTGCTGTTCTGTAGGGTGTAGCTCCGTGTGTAGCAGTCTTGCAGCAAGACAAAGGCTCCCCCTGTGCCTGTAGGAGTTAGGTGGGTCACAGTTAGGTGGGTCACTCTGCTGCCATTGAATCATGAGCTGCTTCAGTTGCTTCTTTCACAGCCCGGTGGGTTTTGAATAACGTCCATAGCAGCCACACTCCTACAGTTGGGCATGGAGCAATGATCCTGGCTTCCTCCAGCACCTCCCCTTCCGCAGGACAGCAGGCTTTAAGCACGCTGCTTGGCTTTTCTCACAGCCCTCTCACTATTCTCTGCCCACTCTTTCTCTTTTACCCCCTCTTTCTCGTCAGGCTGGGAAGTTCAGCATAATTCCTGCTGCCGTGAGTTTTGGCACTGGCATTGCGTTCTTCGGAGCTGTGAGTGCTAAATATGCTCTTTTCCTCTGATCCATAGGGCTAGGATTTGCTACTCATCTGCTGTTTCCCCTGTCTGCCTGCAGTGCCAAGCTTCTCTACTAAAGGGAGCTGGTGTCTGGCTCCAGCATGGATGTTGCCACTGCAGTCCCTTCTAGACCTGTCTGGCACATGCTGTCATGGCCCTTCCCCTTTGGCAGAGTAACGGGGAGCCTGGGCTCTCCCTCTGCCCTCCCCTTTCATCCCAGACACAGTATCCCAAAAGACCACTTGTCCTGTCCCTTATGTGGCTGGGACCATGGCTCTACACTCTGCCAGCCCTGATCCTTCACCGGTGCATCACAGCCCAGGTGACTGGACCTGACCTCGTGCATCTGCTGGCAGCAGGTTGGGATGGAAAGGTCCTTGCTGCACTGCCTGGGAAGCTGGGCAGCAGAAAGCTTACACATTGCCCCTGTGCTGCCAGACTGGGAGAGCCTGGCAAGCATGGAGTGGCGGCCAGCCAGGCTTGTACGGGTGCCATGGGCAGAGGGCCTGGCACTCTTGCACGATGATCCACTGCTGACTGCTCTACTGCATGTGTTCTCCTCTAGGCCACAGTGGTCTGTGACCTGGTTCTGCTCTATCTGGATACACAGGCTGACTTCTATTGGAAGGAGAAGTTTGAGGAGGTAAGAACAGGCTGCAGGGCCACTTCGGAGAACTGAAATGAGAGTGAATTTTGGGAGCTGATTGAATTATTTTCTGCCCTTTGGCAGTTTGCAAGATCTGGGAAAGCCCAGGTGGAGCATTTCTCAATCTCTCCTCCCTCCAGCTCTTGGAACTCGGTGGCTAGTCTGAACTGCACCTGGCACAGGTTTAACTCTTACAAGATTAAAGACAACAGATAACTGAGAGGGAACAGGGGGACCCAGCTGGTGCCCAAACTGCAGGGAAACCCGTCAAATAACAAGGAGTCCACAAGGACACAACCAGCAGCCTGGGCTTCCCCAAGTCTCCTACACAGGAAAATTTTAAATTGTTCTTTAGCTTGGAATTCTGATCCAGCTCCACATTTATTCACCCTCTTCAGAACTGAATCTGGCCAAACTGTGTGTGAAAAAGGATAGATCTTCACAGTGTGCTGGAGCTATGCCAGTGTTGATGCTGCAGTTCAGCATCAGATTTTCTTGTTGTGCATGGTGCTTGGCTTTGCACTGCCTGGGTGAATCCCAGAGTCACAGAACTATGGACCAGGAGGCCCGATCAGAGTTCCCTCATCCAAACTTCCATCAGAGCAGGACTGCTGCCAGCCCTAGCACAGGTCATCTTTGGCTTTATCTGGTTGAGTGTTGGAAGCCTCCAAGGATCCTCCAGGTCCTTGGTAAACTGTCCTAGGGCTGCACCATCCTACCAAGGAAAAAAGTTTTGTGCAATTCCAGTCTGAATCTCAAGTTACAGGTTGGGTTAGAGTCTCAAGGAATGGATCTGTTTGCGCGGGACTGAGCAGAGCAGGACCACCTGCCTAGGCTGCCCACTTGTACATAGAACATGTCCCTGTTCATTTTGCAGGCAAAACCCCCCAAAGGTAAGACAGAGGCAGCAGCTGACCCACAGTGGGCTGACCAAGACATCAGGAATGCTCAGTGACGATCACTCTTCAGTCTGGAGTGACCTCCAGGTAGATGTGCTGGGGGCACAGCTGCAAGCCCAGTGGATGTGACCTACTGCTGGCCTGGATGCGCATGGTCTGCCCTTCCTGGAGAAATACTTGTATCAGCAGGAGCCCTTGGCACACAGAGCATGTGTTGGGTGTCCCCTTGGCACAACGCACAGCCATGCACCTCCCAGGATCGATGGGCATTAGCCAAGTGCAGCCATGCCATCGAGCTGCTGTGGGAGCTGGAGCTTGCTGGGCAGTGGCTGGTCCATGCTCAACACAAGAGGCTTAAAGTACTTTGCGCTTCTTCCCTTCCCGGATGGCCCTTGGGGTTGATTTCCCAAGGAAAAACAGGGTTGCAATGGAATAAAGCTGTTTGGAAAGCGAGAGGTGGCTCTGCTGTGTCTTTAGCCCACAGGGTGGCTGTGGAAGTTTTGTGGCACTGCTCTGTCCCTTGGATCCCTGTGTCCTTGCCTGGAAAAAATAAAAGGGCAGTGCACCAGAGTCCTGGAAGCACCGGGCTGCCCACCCTATCTACTCCTGTCCTGCTCACTGGGGAGCATGTCACAGCGCTGGATGTCTCCATCCTGCCACTTGCCCAAATGGGAACTGGCCATACTGACCCCTCAGTGAGGCTCCTGGGCTCTGCCTCTGCTGACTGCCCTCTGTGCTTTCCCTGATGTGTGCGCACAGCTTCAGCGTGGTTTCAGCTGGGCAGAAATACCTGTAACCTCGGTTATAGGTACACCCCGGTACCAAGCACCCAGTCTGCCCCATGGCCACACGTGGCCCCAGCCCAGCAAAGGGACACGGAGGGCTTGGGGCAGGGCAGGGACAGGCTGGGTCAATGCCCATGCCCGTGGGGTGCTCAGGGAACCCCACAAACCCTGGAGCTGTCTGGCTCAGAAAGTCCACAGCGGCACAGTGGGGGGGTGAGCGCTGTTTAATGCTCCTTGCCCTCAGAAGAACTGACTCCAGGGGGGGACAGGTCCCACATCGTCGCCCTTGATCAGGCTCCTGCCCCGTCCGCCGCTCGTGAACTGCTGCAGGTAGAACTGTGCCGCCAGCTGCGTGGTCATCACCCTCAGCGCCAGGAAGGCAGCCACGACCTCGGAGACGAGGAAGGCCAGGAAAAGGCTGTGCACAGCCATCTCCAGCGGCAGCCGGATGATGTGGTCATCCGTCAGCAGGAACAGCAGCAGGGGGAGCTGGATCAGGAAGGATAGGAGGAGGAACCCAGCGAGCTCGGGCACCTGTGTGGGCAGAGGCTGCTGAGGGGGGGACGTGGGTGCCCTTGATGGGGTGGGTCCCCCCTCTGTTGGGGACCACAGCTCTAGGATTACCCTGCTAGGACCTCCCAGGACTTGGCACCCTTACCTTCTCCTGCAGGTTCCCGATGTAGCCCAGGTAGAGCCGGGCACCTTCAGTCAGCGTGAGGATGAGGAAGGCAGCGAGCAGGAGGAGCTGGTAGTAGCGAGGCAGCAGGCTGTACTGTAACGGGGGCACAGCCTCGTCCCAGCCAGCTCTGTGCCCGAAGCCTCACACCCCACACTCTGCCAGCCCCAACTGTGCTGGTGCCCCAGCCTTGCCTGCTCTGCCCTCCCAGTTTAACTTTCCCTGCCTGGAAAGTTAAGTGGTTGCTCTCATGATTTCCATCTTCTTGGAAGGTGTGGGACAGGGCATTTTTATCCACATGTGGGGACCCATTAGTCGTGTGTCACGACCAGCATCCCACCTCCATTTACCGTGTCTCCTGCACATTAAACCTGTCCTGTGAGCTCCCCCCCTCACCTGCCCACCGGACAGTACCTTCAGCTGCAGCATCATCCCCTCGCCCAAGCACCAGAAGGGGACATAGCAGGCGTTGAAGTAGAGCATCATCTGCAGGGGGAGGCTGGCCAGCACCTCGTGGGCTAGATAGGGCAAGGCAGGGCTGGGCAGGGCTGGGCAAGGCCCCCAGCACCCCCCCGCAAGCCCAGCCTTGCTTTCTGTGGGGCTGCACCAGCTCTGCAGGAGCTTTGGCCACCTTGGCCCCCACCGTCACCTGCAGCAAATGCCTGGAGTTTGCTCCAGCTCATTGCTGGCTGGGCGCTGGGACACTTTGCTGCCAGCAGCGTTGACAAACTGAGTGCCTACAGTGCTGCTAAAACCTCCAGCCCAGCTAAAACCTCCAGCCCCGCTCTGCTGAGCCCCCCCCCGGAGGTACCTGGGCGGTAGATGCGGGCAGCGCCACTGTCCCGTGTCTTGTTATTGATGAAAAGGGAGCTGCTGAACGCCGTCAAGCCCCGCCGCAGGTTGAGGGGCAGTGGTGTTTGTGCAGCCATGGCCAGCGGCTGAGCCCTGCTCCGCCAGGATTAGCAGGAGGGTGGATAATGAGATGACAACTCAGGGTAATGCGCGCGGCCACCCGGCCATTGGCTCCCACGGCATGAGCCGGGGGGGAAGACAGGCTCCTCGGCTGCAAGCAAGGAGGAGGGACGTGCCCCTTCTCCATCTTCACAAGGAAACACGTCACTGGCTGGGGAAGGGCATTTATTGCCATGGTGAGAGCTCCCGGTCACCCACACAGGAGCCCAAGGGTACAGAGCATCTCCCTTCCGTAGCAGCTTGTGCGGGCAGCAGCAGGCGGTGCCCATCCCTCCACCACCGTGACAGGGACGTGACCTCCCCATGCGCCCCGCACAGCGCTCTGCTCTTCGGCACCCTCTCCCAGCTGCATTGTATCAGCATCATTATTGCTTTAATTTCCCTGACAGACGAGGATGCCCGTGAAAGATGAGGATGTGCCCCATACCGTGAACCCCTTCCCTGCAGAAGGGCTGTCACAGCTGGGGCCGCTCCTTGCCAGCACCCACCCATGTTTCCAGTGGATCACCAGCTCCGTGGTGGCCAAGATGGCATTGATAAAATCGCGTCTCCAAGCTCCCAGACTCATTTTACCCTTCGCTGGGATGGGCTGTCCCTGGCACAGTGGGGCTCTCGCAGGTCTCCGCACCGCCGTGGCTCAGGGCTCCTGGGAAGGGCAGCGTGTTGGAGGTGGTGTGTGCCAAGGGGGTGGCTGAGCCAAAGCAGGATGGCAGAGGAAAGGGATGGTGTGCTGGGGCCTTCGTGGTTAGGCCTACACAACAGGCAGCAGCTCCTCTCATGATCTTCAGCCTCCAACCCATCCCAGGAGGTGCCTTAGACAGAGCCTCTGCTGACACCGACAGTGCTTGTCCGAGCTACTGCAAATATTGAGACTATTGCAAAAGTGGTCGTTAAGGAACAGGCACTGGCAAGGAACATGAGAAACCAAATAAAAAGGGAATTCTTCTGTTTGCTAAAGCCAAAATGAAGCTGTGGAGCTCATTGTCACAGGCTGCCAAGAAGAAAGGGGTGAGCAAAATGTGATTAGGCCAGTGCATGACTAGGTCATGCTGATCAAGGGCTCGGTCCTTGGTCCTGGTCCTGGGCACCTGTGATGGGCTAGTGCTGACTAGATAATCTTTAAAGTCCCTTCCAACTCAAACCACTCTGTGGTAACACCCCGGCATGGCTCTCACGATCCAACTCAGGACAGCTCCTTGCATGTTCTTACAGTACCGTTGGGAAAAAATAAAAAATGAAAAAAATTAAAAAAATTAAAAAAATCCTACACTAAATGGACTTCACAGGCAATCAGACCAGGTATGGAAAAAATACATCATGCTGTTAAGTGTTGGTCTGTTGCTGGATAAGGATGGTGAACTAAGGGAGGATGATGGATGAGAAGAAATACCCACAAGGTCCTTTTGGTCTATTTGGCCATACCTGGACAGGACATCTGGAGATGCTACTGGTGAGGACACACACTCCACTGTCTTGGGGAGGGTGCTAGCCACAACCTGTAACACTGCACATCAGAGCCACTTCAGAAAAGCAGAAGGGCCTCCAGGTATGTGCACCGTACCCCAAAGGTGTTGCCACAGCCTCCTTGGGAAGCTGTACAAAGGAGCAAAGAGAGGCGTGAACGCCAAGACATCAAGAAGCAATGCTCACCCCAGCAACCAGCTTGTAATGCAAGCAAAGGCCTGGGCAGAGATCACAGGATGAAGGCTGAGGCCATGGTTAACAGCTGGGAAGCAACCTCACAAGAAGCTGTGATTTTTTTTAACCAAGGCTTAGGGTATAAATGAACTAAAAATAAGCCTATTGTCCAGTGCTGTGTCATAATGGGAAGATTCAGAAGCTTCTTGGATGTACGAGAAGGGAACGTGCTGGGCCTAACACAAAGCTCCCCCAGGACAGAGCACTGGAAGCTCTCCTTGGGGAATCTCCCCACCAGCTCTGCTTGGCTGACAGACACGGGGCTCTGGACTGGCCAGGCCCACTCCTGAGCTAGAGACGAGGCATTTCTGCCAGCATGAGGGGTAAAACACAGCTGCAGAGCACTGACACGGAGAGCTGAGATGACACAGGTGGCTTCGTCACCACCTGACAAAGAGCAGAGGACAACCAGAACACAAACAGGGGCTTTCAGAACGCGAGGGAAACCTGAGGCCATCCGCATGCTAAATCTCCCCAGGCCACCCAGGGTGCTCCTGAGGGCTAGGGACTGGCTGCAGGCAGGGGAGAGCCACGGGTGAGTGCTGCAGCCATGCAGTGTGCAGAGAGGGTGCGGGTACTGGCCTCCGCAGGGATGCGCTGAGCTAGGAGGAAAGAGGATTTGGGGAGGGGAAAGGTGCTGGAGAGCATGTATGGGTCACGGAGAGCAATGAAAGGCACTCATGCTATTAACAGGGACAACAGACGCGCTCGGGGCTCTCATTGTGCTCCTTGACGAGCGTAGACGCAGCTCCCACTGGCTCCCCTGACACCAGTGTCTGCAGTTCGCAGCAGCTCCTTGCCAGCCGTGTGGTGCCCACGCTGGCTGCTGGTGCCTCGCCTGCTATCCCCAGGATCTGTTTCCTGACTTCCCAGCGTGAATTTCAGCTGCGGACCCCCCAGGCCCGCTGGCTGGTGGGGCAAAGGAGCCGGCGGTTTGCACACACAGGAGCTACCTGGGAAGGTGACTGCTGGGTGAAAGAGGCCAGGTTCCTCCGAGTCCCAAAGGAAAATGATTCAGGTGCAGTGTTTGAGGTGCTCCACGGAGCTGCAGCTTTCTTCTTGTGGTGAGCGCAGCCATCAGGAGGACGCAGCCACGTCTGGCGTTAGGAGCCTTTCCCTGTTAGCCAGGACATATCGCCAGTTCTAGCAGAGACAGAAACAAGCAGCACTGTGAGATTTTTGCCCGGCGTGCATAAATGAAGCTGTTCGGCATGCTTCCCAAGCTGCTGGCCACACAGACTGGGTGCTGCTCTGCCACAGCACTACGCTGCACCCAGGCCAGGCAGCACCCTTCCCTCTGCCCTCGCTCCATCCCATGCAAAACTGAATTCAAACAGTTATTTTTATAAACTTTTTTTTTTTTTTTTTAACAAGCCCTTGTGGCATCCAGGTGAAAATTCATGGAAAAACACTGAATGACAGACATCCTCATGGGTTGGGAGAATTCAGCCAAATGGCAGGCATGCCATCCTGGCAGGTTTGGGCACCAGGGCTCTGCAAAGGGCATAAAGCAGCCTGGCATGGGGTTCTCCTGGCATGGATCCTGCCAGCTCCACCACCCAACACATCATCATTGCCCACAGGGAGTCTGGGTTGCAAAACAAGCACATGGTCATAGTCAGCATCTCCATGCAGGAATTGGAGATGTGGCCCAAGCAGGGGGCTGAGCGACCCTTCTGTGAGCCCTACACCACCGTGTGAACTTGAGACCCAAAACTGAACGTACTTGCCATGACGGACAAACAGCCTAAAAGGTGCGAATGCAGTAGGAGACAGAGAGAGAAAAAAAACATCTAGGGTTAGGTGGTTCTGCTTGCTCTGTGCTCACCGAGTCGCCACGGTTCGCCGCAGCACAGGGGCCAGCAGCTCTCCCCACCTGCCACCCACAAGAAATGGCCTCCTTCCCAGTCCCTCCCAGTTCCAAACTTGGTGGTCAGCAACCACTGCCTGATTCCCCCAGAACATGCATCCTGGAAGCTGGGCAGACCCTTGATATGCTCCCAGTGTAAGCTGGGAGCAAGCTCGGGGCAAGCTTCCCTGAGCCAGTGAGGCTTTCCAGGCTGAGGGCTGCAATACTCGCACACGGGTGGTACCCCCAGCCTTTCCTCTGCAGGTGCCCCCAAGTGCCCAGGGGTGCCCTTGGCATCAGGCAGTGCTGCCCTGGTGGCAACAAGTGCCAGGCATGCCAGCCCCTCAGGCCAGCCTTTCATCCCTGGTCCAGGGGGAAACAATCCCATCAAGTCTCTGCAAGGATATGGATCCTGATCCTGGTGTTCAAGATAAATCCCCTTCTAGGAGGAGGCCAGGAGGCAGCACACGGGGTGAAGGAATGAGTGGGGTGAGCAGGGAGATGTGAGCAGTGTACAGGATGGGAAAGAGCTGCCTGGTGCTGGTGGTGTCCTGGCTGGGGATTTTGCCTTGCCTTGCACCATGAGGGTAAGCTCAGCCCCAGCACCACCGGATCCTGCAGTGCACCTACTTACTCCACATCACGCTTTCGGATGGTCCTGCCGGCAGCCAGGACTTCAGCCACCTTGGAGACGATGGGATCGTAGTTCATGCTGGCCACAGCCACCACCTCGTCACTCCTAGGGCCAGGCAGAGCAGAGCGGTTAGAACAGCCCAGGGTGGCCACATCTCCGTCACCCACAAAGCAATATGCTGGAGAGAAGCGGGAAGCAAAGAAAAACACCCTCTGCTCCAGGGCTAGGGAGGTGGGATGGAGACAGCTCTGGACACCCTGGCACCTGGGAGAAACACCAGAAAAGGTGGATGTGGTGGATAAAAAGCTGCAAGAATGCCCAGTGGTCACTGTCAACCACACAGCTTTGCTGCCCTGTGCTGAGGGGGCAGAGGGGATGTTATCAGGGACTTCCCAGTGGCACACTTGGCTGTGCTGCTCCACATCACTTCCTGAGATACTCCTTGGAACAAGAGCACCCACCTCTGAGCTTGCTCCACAGACAGAAACAACTGCATCGAGGCTCAGGTTCTGAGCAGAGCAGGGCTCCTAATGAAGCACCAGGACAGCTGGGTGGCCAACTCCACATCCAGCAGCACATCCCAGTCTGGCTGACCTGATGGTCAGGATCCCATTGCTGGTGGCACAACACAGGATCAAAGGCTGAATGTGAAATGAATGAAGCAGAAGGAAGGAAGATATAAAAATGCTGGAGAAGATTTGGATAAAGATGAGAAGGTACGGGATAAAGGAGAGGGGCACCTCTGCTTTGACATCTGCAAAATTCAGCCTGAGCATAAATCTGAGCATAAGTCTGGCTCAGGAGATGACTCATAAATAGGTAACCAAACAAACAATTCAATGACTAGAGAAGGTGCATAGGATATTAAATACTGGTGATGTTGTTGAATAAGCTGAGGAGTGGAAGCACCCAACAAATCAAGATCTGCTATTCAATCTGCTGCCAAGGAGCTCCATGACCAACAGAGAAAAGACCAGCGTGGGGGAGAAACACGTGCCTGGATTGAGAGGAGGAGAGCAGAAACCATGCTTCAGAGAAAACTTCATCTTCATGGAGCCAGGAGAGTTGAAGTCCTCTCTCTTAGCTGTCCCACAGAGCCGTGGGGCAGCAGCATCACAGGCAAGCACAGAAATGTAGAGCAGATCATAAGCCTTGAATCTTCTCCAGAGACACTGAGCTCTTCCAAACTGGCCAGACCCAGAGATGGACAGACCTCAGGTCAGAGGCTGGATCTGTGGTTCCTGCCCAAATGCAGAGTCCTGTGGAGCCAGCACAAAACAGTATGTGAGAGCCGCCGCGTTGACCAGAGCTCTAGAAAGGCTTGGGTGCCACTGGAAATTGGGATGTGCATGTACAGCAGTGGCATTTCTGATGGCATGTGGCTCTTCCATCCAGCAGACAAGGTAAAAATAAGCAGCAATGAATGAGACATACATTCACACTGGAAAACAAGCACCCACGGCAGGCAGTAAGGATAAAAAACCACCCGAGAAGATCACAAAGCATGCGTGTGCTCAGCTGAATTGCCTGCTGGGCTGTTACATTTGAGGCCTGTTGCTGTGATGTAGAAGAGCTCTCCAACTTCTGAGCCTGGATCTCCTCATCTGGTTGGCCTTACGTCTTGTGCAACATGAATGAGGTCCTCCACTCTCCCCAGGACTGGACAACCTTCCCTAAGGAGATAACTCTAATCTGTGCAGAGACTGACAATTTTGTTTATGGAATACAGCTTGAGGATATTTGCAGCAGTATTTGACAGAACTGCACTGCAGATTTCCTCTTTTCCTTTTGCCCCGAAATTCAGAAATACAATCTACAAGTGAGAACACCTTCCGCACCATCCCCCAGGTGCACCCATCACACAGATCCTGCACCACTGCTTGATGTCTTCAGTGCTCAGCACACAAAAGGCAGCTGAGATTTCAGGACTCCTGGGAGGCTCCATACCACCGCCACACCACAACACATGTTCATGACACTTCAGTGGTTTCCTCCGTGTGCCTCTGGCCTCTGCGGGTGACAGCGGGTGTGCTTTCTTTCCTCCTTCTGCTCTTCTTTCCTCCGAATGCTGGTTGTTCTGTGCCAGGATGCAAGAGGCATGCTGCAGAGGGAACAGTGACAGCACTTCACCAAGTGAGAGGCCTCGGTTTGTCCATTAATGCCTGCACAAAATAGCTGGTGTGTGCAAGAAGCCAGCAAATTCTAGGCTGGATGCTGTTTTAAACTACACTCTGTCCGCTGTGCAACCTCATGTGAAGATCACTAATGTCCAACACAGACACAGAAAGAGCATCCTGCCACTGGGGACAGCAGCTGAAACACTACGACCTCAGATGCTCTTGAACCCTGCACTGACAATTGATCCAGGAGGTTCTCTCACCCCAGCGAGACGCTGTCTTGTACCGACACAGGCAACCACGGTACATGGATCAGACGTGGAGATTTCAAAGCTTTGTTCTTCCTGAGTGCAGCTCCCGGCTGCGCTGCTGGGGGAAGGAGAATGAAAGATGAAGATTTCTGCTCCCAAAGGAGAAACAAAGTGGATGGAGAGGGAAAGATGTGCTATTCTGAGAGAAGGAATAACCAAGGTAAGCAATGGAGAGCAAAAAGACCTAATTCTGCCAGCTGGGAGGTGAATGCAGCCCAAACGTTTCTGTCAGCAATACAAGTGACAGATGGTCCTTTTGTGAAATAATTTTTAGGGCAACGGTTAACTGGAGAATCCCACATCAGCAGTGGCTTGTAAACATTTTGTCTGACAGACAGGGAAGGCCAGGAGGAGTCTCTTTTTTTTCAAGTGGTCTTTTGAGGCAACAAGGGTGCCCTTTCTGAAACTGGGACTGTGAATAATCAGAAGTCTTGGCCTAAAGACTGAGGGAAGGTGAATCGCTGTGGATGTGCACCGTGTCCATATGGCCTTCCCTTCCTCTGCAGGGTTCAATTCATGGGAAACGGTGCACCATGAGGAAGACAACCACAGCTACCCAGTGGATCTCCCATGATCTCCAAGGTCTTAGGGACCAGGGTGACATCGGTCTGTGCTGGAAGAAGTGCTGTGGTGAGCACAGTGTCCCACGAGGACAACTGCAAGGCACCCCATCCCATGCACATCCCCGCACAGGGCCTCACGCTGACCTCTCAGCAGCTCACCCTCAGCTCTGAATGGGGGTAAACAAACAGTGTTATTCTTCAAACTCTGGAAAATAAAAGAGTTTTGTTATGAAAGTCGATGCTGAGAGCAGGCTCTGGGAATGGGCATCACCAGTGTTTCATGCAGGAACCGAACCAGTGCACACCAGAAGTCCAAACCATCAGGTGGATGTGGAAAGCAGGAGGAGGTGGCCTGTTTGGGACAGTGTCCTCAATCCAAAAGCGTTAGTACCAGTAGCGGGACTATCACCAAACAAGAAGAAAAGCAGGAAATGCTCCCAGTCACCTCTCACAGCTGGGCAGTGAGAGAGGAACCAGCCCGAGCCCCACCAGCTGCAGTACCTCTGGCTCTCTGCACAGGATGCCGTCCTACCACACCAAAGCCATCTCCTGGGGCCCCTCCTGGGTGGCAGAAGAAGGCAGCTCTCAGCACCCGCCCCATGTCAGTGCCGGACCCAGTGTGAGGCCCTGCACCACGCAGGGGATTAGTCACCTTGCTCAGGGCTTTCCTCTTGAAAGGGCTCTACAGATGTTTTATTAAAGTGGCCTGGCATTTTCTTTCTAATTAGGGTTGGGATAAATAGCTAAATCTGTTGTGCTCTGATATGGGAAGGAGGAATAGGGTGATAGTTCATAGATTGTATGCTGGAAAGAAATGGGATAAAGGCAACAAAGGAACAAACAGCAGCAAATATTCTGGGAATAAGTTTACAATACATAGTCTTTCCAGTCGAAACAGCCAGCTGTCTAAACAGCCAAGGCAATGGCTATTGACATCCCAGCTGTCAACAGATCTCAGGAAAAGTATTCCCAGTCTCCCAGCCTTGGGGATAGCTGCTTTTCAGTCCAGGTGTAGCAAAAGCTCCTGAACTCTTGCTAACTTTCACAGCTTGTTAATAGACAGGGGAGTTTTCAAAGGTTAACTTGTCAAACCAGAAACAGAAATAGCGATGCCTGACTGGTCCAGCCTTGGTCACAAATACTAACACATTGTCGATATGGGAAGGAAATCTTTGAATGAAATAGTGAGCAACAAATTAACAGAAGCCATTATTTGCTCTCAGATGACAGGTGAACAAATCTGGCAGAGATACTAGGTCCAAGGAACTGCTTAACTTGCTTTACATTCAGCACAACATTTCTCTAGTGCCTGGCACTAATGCATCTAATGTAATGTAATGCAACTAATGCAATGTATGTGCAGTTTTATTCATGTCCTGCAACATCAGTGTCCAGGTAGAAACAAAACTGACTGAAAAAATCTCCAGCAAAAATATTTTCCAGCCTAGCAGAACAAGCTGAGACAAATGTCCATTTAGGTACACGGAGAAGAGAAACACTTACTTGGTATAAAATGCAACGAACTTCAGTTCATCTAAGTCCCCTTGAATCACAACATCATCAAATCCTTCCCCGTGGCCTGAAAGACAAAGAAATCATGGGTTGGAGCAGGTGAGTCCCTGCCCTGCAGTTCCACAGGCAGGTGGATGGCCCTGGCTGTGCTCCCCTCCAGCCTCCCAGCCTCATCCTGCTGCTGGTGGGGAGTTTCAGCTTCACCCTGCTGCTGTCCCTCCTCCCCTGTGTGGCACCCTGAGGTGACACCTCCCTCCCTACATCTTCCTGCACCTCCCAGTGCAGTCTTGTGTGAAATGTCCTGGGGACAACACCTGTACCAGCCTAGACCTCAATGTCAGGGAGAAGGAAAGGGATGAACCCACGCGATCACAGGACAGTTGCTGAGAAAGCAATTCCCAGATCAAATGTTTTGCTCTAGTTTTTATTTGCTTCTATCATGTGCCAGGAAGGAAAGCAGACCTGAGCCAGAGGCTGGCCCAGAGGGGACACGGATGAAGGTGGCTGTGACTTCTGTATCCCAGGGCACCTCCGCCAGCACAATCTCTATTGCAGCCCTGGGTACCCCCTCACCTGCATATCGAATGCTCTTCCCAAACATAGCAGTCCACAGGTAGGGGATGGTGCTGATCTCCGTGCCATGGGCCAGCATGTTCAGTGCTGCTATACGGCCTGGAAGGCAGAAACAGCAGAATAAGCAATAGAGCCCTGAATCTGAGCAAGCATCAGGGCCCTCAGGCCACAGCACAGCTCAGGTCAGCAGCATCAGCATCTCTAGTCCAGGAGCACAGAAAGACTAATTCCTTCTGCTTCAGCTAAAGTAACCATACAGCATCAAGCACCTTCACAGAGGAAACCCAACACATCCTCCATGGCTGGGCTTGGAGGAGTCGTCCAGTGGTGCAGCTCTTACTGACTCCTCACCTCCATCAGCACTAACATGCTCAAGGTGCTGAGCTGGCCACTCGCTCTGGGAGCTATAGGATCCAGCCCTGGGCAGCCCAGCTGGGGACAGTGTGCCTGCAGCCTCTCACCCTATGAGCTGATGAGTGCAGGATGAAATGCTTCTGACCCTCCCCAGGGCAAGGAAAAGATCAGGCTCCTGTAGGGACTGATCTCCTGGGGACACCTTGGTCTAGGAGTAATGAGCATCATGAGTGATCGTCAGTGTGCGTATGTCAAGAAGGCTGACAAATGAATAGGTAACGAACAGGATAAAATACATATTTCCAAATGTTGAATGCAATCTACACAGTTTCCATGTCCTCAGTTCTCATTCTCTTCTTAAAGTGTTGGAAATTTCCTGGGTATCAGGAAATGGCTCTTCTCCTCAAGCAATTTTTGCTGCTGCAAAGGGACTGAAAAGCACCTACCATGCATATGGGCCATCTGCCAGTGAGGAACAGTTCACTTTCTTGTTGTTCCTCAAGGCCAGCGGGAACATCACAGTGTCACCAGCTGCAAACACTCCGGGGATGTTGGTCTGCATCATCTGAAGGAGGGAAGCAGAATTGCATGTTGGGGGGGTTTGCACCCTCCAGGAGCAGCCAACAGGGAACTGCCTGAGACCCACCAAGGTCCCCAGGGGCAGGAGGCGTGTGTGTGTGGACACCCACAGCATCCAGGGCCAAAAGAGCTGGGGCTTTGCAAACCTATAGCTTCAAGGAGGGTGTGCTGGCCCAAGTGCATGGCAGTCCTCACACCTCAGCATTTAGGGACAGACTGTCACCATGCTGGTGGTTCAGAGGCCAAGGCAAGTCCAGCTTGGAGGAGCCAGTGCGACCAAGATAGCTGCAGCTCTGGGGGCTGCAACACCAGGCTCACCTTGTTGACCACAATGAAGCCTTTGGAGTCGATGTTGATGCCACTCTGCTTGAGAAATCCCGTTGCTGGCACTGCACCTGCAGGGGAAAGCAAAGGGCTGTTTTTCCTCTAGCCCTCATATACCTGTTGTGGATTGTTGACTGTTGGGAAGCAGTCCATAAAACAGCAGGAGAATGAAACCGGAATCTTGTGATTCTTCCAGTTTGCAATGTTTAGAAAAGTTACCATTAGTTAGGGGCTTTTTCCTATCCCCAAGTGTCAAGGAGAAAAATACTGTCTATGGCAGCAGCAATAAAATAAGATGATAAAAATAAATAAATAAGTGCAACAAGAAAAAAAAAGTTTGGAGTGTAAGAAAATAAAAAATTGAAAGAATTAAATTTAATGTTTTTTCTGAAAAAAAAAAAAAATAATAAAATGAAACTTAATATCACCCAAATGTTTTCAACTTCATTTTTTGGATGTTAGGACCTAGGAAAGACTTTTTCAGCTTTGCTACAGATACAAGCATAGGGTGGAAGCTGGTACACCTCTACCTGCACCCTTCAGCCACCTGGCCAGGAGGAAGATGACTGCCCCGTCTCCTCCAGCACCAGCACTGTTGAAGCAAAGCACTGCTGGCCTGATGGGACCAGCACTCAGCAACGCAGCAGCAGCCCCTTACCTATACCAACGACACAAACGTCTGCACGTAGGACCTTCCCACTCTTCAGCACCACCTCCTTCAACTTTACAGGAGAGAGGGGAAATTACAGTTATTTTAGAGACAAAAAAAGAAAAACCCTGTAGCAGCAGCAAGCGAAACTAGCTTCTTGCTTCATTTCTGACATGCAAGTTGGCTGTAATTCCTTATACTGGGAAAAAGAAGAGTTTCAGAGACCACTAAGGGAGTCCTGAAGGTGCTTTCTAGGGACAGGGTTAAAACCATGCAGTGCTTCAGCAGGGTCACCCTCAATGCTCTCTCTGTCCCTCCAGGATCTCAGAGCAATGAAACCACCCCAACATGTGGCTGGAGCACACTTGCTCCTGGGGGCTAAGCTCAAGAATACGAATTTTGGGGGCAGGGAAAGAGAGAGGGCAAAAGCCCAGCAAGTGAAGGAGACAGCACCACCAGGGCGAGATGTGGCCACCTCTCGCCCCAGGGGAGCCTTTGCCATGCTGTACCTTGTTCTCCTGCTCCCGCAGCTCCGACACCTCAGTCTGCATGTAGAACTTCACCCTGTGGTTCTCGAACATCTGTGGGGACAGCAGGCACATCACAGCCCCACGCTGTCCCACCCTTGTGCCTTGGCACCCTCTGAGCTCCCCTCCCTGCCTTCAAGTCCTCCCATGCAAACCCGGGTCAGGCCCTTTCACAGCAAGCAGCCCCCAGAGGGAAAGGTCCAGCCCAGTCTTCCTCAGGGGTACTACTGTAGAGCACCTTCACATCTTAATCAATAAATCAGCTTTTAGAATAACTGCATCAGCAAGTTAATGAATGCTATCGAATGGAATCATGGAATCATAGAATGGCTTGGGATGGAAGGGACCTTAAAAATCACCCAGTTCCAACCCCCCTGCCATGGGCAGGATGCCACCCACTAGGTCAGGTTGCCCAGGGCCTCCTCCAATCAGTCCCTGAACGCCTCCAGGGATGGGGCATCCACAGCCTCCCCGGGCAACCTATTCCAGTGCCTTGCCACCCTCTGAGGGAAGATTTTCTGCCTAACCTCTAATCTTAATCTCCCCTCTTTTAGTTTAAAACCATTCCCTCTTGTCCCGTCATTATCTGTCTCAGCAAAAAGTTGCTCTCCATCTTTTTTATAAGCCCCCTTTTAGAATTGAAAAGCTGTAATAAGGTCACCCCTTCTCCTCTGTAGGCTGAACAGCCCCAGCTCTCTCATAAGAGAGGTGCTCCAGCCCTCTGATCATCTTTGTGGCCTTCGTCTGGACCCCCTCTAACAGCCCCACATCCTTCTTTTTCTGGGGGGCACCAGACCTGGACGCAGTGCTCCAGGTGGGGCCTCACAAGGGCAGAGCAGAGGGGGACAATCCCCTCCCTCCCCTGCTGCCCACCCCTCTGGTGATGCAGCCCAGGTTGCACTTGGCCTTCTGGGCTGCAGGCACACTCTGCTGGCTCATGTCGAGCTTTTTGTCCACCAGAACCCCTAAGTCCTTCCCCAGAGGGCTGCTCTCAATGAGTTCTTCTCCCAGTCTGTCCTCATGCCTGGGTTTGCCCCGACCCAGGTGCAGCACGTTGCACTTGGGCTCGTTGAAGCTCACTAGGTTCATGTGGGCCCAAATCTCAAGCATCCCCCTGTCTATGCCATTGATAAAGATATCAAACAGCACCAGTCCCAGGACAGATCCCTGAAGGACACCACTCATCGCTGGCCTCCACCTGGACATGGAGCCATTGATAAACACTCTCTGTGTGTGACCTTCAAACAAACTCCTTGTCCACTAAATGGTTCACCCATCAAGTCCCTGTCTCTCCAATTTGGAGAGGCATGATGACACCAGGGCTGTCATGTGGAACTGTGTCAAAGGCCTTACAGAAGTCCAGGTAGATGACGTTGGTCAGTCTTCCCTTGTCAACTGACGCCAGTCACTCCATCGTAGAAGGAGTGAATAAGTGAACAAGTTCACATCAATAAGTGAAACCAGCAGAACCCACTCTGTCACCAAAACCACCCCCAGGACAGGAAAGTGAGGTCACCTTCATGACAGCGCGGCCAACCCTCTCCCCAAAGAACTTCTTGAAGGGGACTTCCTCCAGCTCGACCAGGGACACCGAGTGGGCCCTCTCTGCAAGGTAGGCGGCCACCTCCATCCCTGGGGAACAGAAGCACGTCCCAGCGGGGCTGCTCCGTGGGGACTCCTGGGCTGCAGCCAGGCCCCGTGGCCACAAAGGGCCCCACAGTTTTGCATGAGATTTATCATTTACAGTGATTTATTCTTAGAGGCAGAAGTCACAGGAGGACTTTAAAGATCAAAACAAGCAACCAGCCATAATGAAGTCCCAAGAACCCCAGGAAGCTTTTGTTAATGGACCTCAGAGGAAGAGAGAAATCTGCCTCTTATGGCTTAGCAGAAGTAATGAGCTACTGGCTGAAAACTGCCCCTGTGACTTCAGCTTTTTTGTTCTGTTCAGAAGAGACCAATTTTGGTGCTGGCAATTGCATGGAAACCTTCAGCATTTTCTTTCTATGATTTTTTTTTTTTTTAGAAACTGTTCTCTTTGATGGTCTTCAGTTTACAATCGGTCCCTCAAACCACACATTTTGTTGTAGACAGGACTGACTGAACCTTTAAAGCACGAAATTTAAAACAAACAAACAAACAAACAAAACCCAAAACAAACAAGTACTGAACATTTTGAAGTAAATTCCCTCCCTAACAATCGTTTATGCTTAAAGCTTGCAGGACATGCCAAAACTTTGTTACAGACGTATCAAACAAACAAACAAAAAAAAATTAAAGAAATTATAAGGCTTATGTGTATTTTAAAAATTCTCAACCCTGATGAAAGTAGAAGAGAAATAAGCCCACAACCTTTCATCTACTAAAGACTCTCCTATCTGAAGGCAAATCTGCACTTACACACTGGATTTGAAAACACCTGAGTGACAGTACTGGACTTATCCAGACTGGGATAGCAATGCTCTTTGTCCATGCAAGCTGAATTGCCCAGCCTCTCAAGTAAAAATAATTTTTTCAGGTTTGAGATGTTTTTAGCACTTGGAGCTGCAGGTTGAACCATCCAGGTCCAGTCTGCAGGGGATTACCTCCAACAGGGTAATGATAAATTAGGGGAGGGTTTGTGACAAGCTGCAGGGACACATAGAAAGTTGAAAAATGCAAATCTGCAAAATGAGAGCTCACCAAGGAAGGAGGCACCCACTATAACCACATTCTTGCTGGTGGCCAGTTTCACCACCCGGTTTGCATCTTCTGGTGTTCGGATGTTGAAAACATTTTCCACTTCCTTGCCTTTACAGCTGAGAGCTTTGGGTCTGAAAAAAAAACAAACAAAAAACAAGTTGAGGGCTGTCTAGGTTGGGCTTCTGCAGACACTTTGGCTTGGCTATCTGCTTCTGGGGGAGCTTTCTTTTTTGGGGGATGGGGGAACGACACAGACAGGAGAAGGCAATACGCTGCAGGATGTCACACTACAGCCAAAACACCAAATTTTGTCATGTTTCTCTGCAAAGTCACCCTGGATAGACACATAATATAAAAAATAAAAAATAAAAAAATGCTGGTGGACAATGGAATGAGCCCCCAGCCCCAGTCCTCATGCAGCTGCTTGGCAGACAAATGGTGCAAGCCTGGCCTATGCTCTGTGTAGAAAAATGGAGCACAACACGGGATGGTTCCTACTATAATTTTAAGGTTAACTGCTGTCATGTGGTAAAATTTTCAGAAGCTTACTAGGACACAGAAAACTAACTCTATCCTTGGTAGAAAATTCAGAGCCAGATTTTAAAGGTTCTATAAGCATCTGCAGATGTGGGTTCTGTAGCAATTTAAGCTTGTCATGTCGTGTATTTACTGGGGCATATGTATTTTTAAATATCTGTCCCCTCCATATACATGTATATGACTCATGTCTGGAAATGCGAATGATGATCCTAAATAATTCAGGGATCTTAAAAACATTTACCCAGTGTACTTGGAGCTTATGCATAAGGATTTTGAAATTATTTCCAAAGGTTTAATCCTCTCTCGAACCTCATTAGGTGGAAAGTGCATTTGGCTGAGCATCACATCACCCAACACCAGGTCTAGCAACCGATGTGGCTGCAGCTGAATCACAGCATCCCACTGGCAGAGCCGGACACCTGCAGATGACTGCAAGGACTCCAGGCATCAGAGACCCAAATATGAAGCAGCACCAAATACTGACAATTACCAGCGGCATCAGCAGTTTGCAAAGGGAGTGATTTCTCTTTTGCTCCCTCCCAACCAGGCTTGAAGCTCCCTGTACCACCTGGCTGGAAGCATCCCTAACCCAGATGATAATTTTGCAGAGGTTGAATTTGCCCTAGTCCACTTGGTGCCTTTGTGGCAGGAGCACACAGAAAGGGTGAGCAGCCCAGGGGTGCCAGACCTGTGCTTGGGTGCCATCCTGACAGCCCCTTTTACACCAGCACAGCTGCTCAAGGCCAGGCATGTGAGGGATTCAGACACTCGCATTTGCCCCAAAACAGGGCAAAAAGTGAAATAGTGAAATATCCATGGAGCAGTAAGGTTCAGAGACTTTGCTATAGAAAAGCCTGGTTTTGTCTACAATATTTGATATTTTCTGTGAAAATGTAATTTGCTCTTAAGCTGGCCCACAGGAGAGACTTCTGGGAACAGTGCAGCATTGACCTTGACTCTGATCATGAAACTCCTGCGCAGCCTTCTTCCACACACCACAGCCCTTGGTGCTGGTGGTCCCCTGCTTTCTGGGCTACATTTGGTGACACACAGGCTCTTCAACTTTGGCTGAGCAGATACACCCACCATAGCTAGAGGGAGATACTGACATATCAAATATGTATTTGTTGCCTTTTCTGCAAACATTCTTGCAAACAAATTCAGTTTCTAAACGCAACTGCTGTGTTTGATCCCTTATCCCCAGGCACAAGCTCCTCAAGTTCTCAGATAAAATAGTTTCTCATGATCTTTAAAATGTTTGTAGCTTACGTGTTTCCAGTTGCTATCAGCAGTTTGTTATATTCCATCTTAAATCCATCCTTGAACACAGCTATCTTGTTCTTGATATCCACAGCTGCAACCTGAAATCATTTCTAAATAATGTTAAGAGATGAAATCTCAAGACATTCACTGAGATGCCATGTGCTGATCCAGAAGCACCCCAATTGCACCAGCCCACCAGGAGCCTCTTACAGCACACCTTGCTTTGTTAATGACTGCAGAGAATGCAAACCATTTGTTATTATTTTCTACTTCTGAATTGCTTTCTTGCAGGGGATGATCAGCACCCACTAACGCACACAGGCTCAGAAGGGAAGACTTCAGAGTAAGCCTCAAGGCACCACCAAAATCCATAGCAGCAGCATTCCTTGGTGTTGAATCCCCTGAAATATGTAGGCGCCAGTTGAGCACCTAGTACTTGTTTATCTTAGATTTTAACAGGAACTGAGAGCCAGGAAGTAATTCTGTGCTGTGCAGGTGACCAAGCACTGGAATGGGTTGCCCAGAGAGGCTGTGGAGTCTCCCACCTTGGAGATATTCATATGTTGCCTGGACATGGTCTTTAGTCCCCTTGGTTTCTGTCCCCAGCTTAGCCGCTCCAGATCTTAAATCATCCTAGCTGCCATTTCACAAATCCTTGAAAATTCCCAATATGAATAAAATAATAGGGAGAAGTATTTAATCCATCACTGTCTGTGCTGCTTGCAGGCAGATTATCCTGATCAGAGGCCAGTTGGTCACCCCAAATCCATGTGAGGATGACGGGCAGATGGCAGGTAAGAAATGATGGTCACTAGGGATTTTGCACAGGAAGAAATTGCATTAATTATGACTTAGAAAACCACAGGCAGCCTGACCTTGGAGGCACAAAACAGCCCGGGGAATGAGGGAGACTTGGCATTTCTGCAATGGAAATCAGTGAGCTGAAAACAAAGACACAGACTTTGTGTGCCAGCACCTGGAGAATAATCTGCAGGCACAATGGTGAGACCACACGGTACAAACACGATTCTCCTCACCTGCATTTCAGTCAGGACTTCAATGTCGTATGTGCGGAAAAATTCCTTGGGGCGCAGGGCTATCTGCTCCGGGTGGGAATCCATTGACTGGAGAAAAAAAAAAAAAAAAAAAAAAAGACTGTTTTTCTCTTAATACCTGTAAATTGAATACCTTTCCACTCCCCTTGTGAGGAAGCTGTAGGCCTTGATGAGGTCCCCCCTCATCCTCCTCTTCTCCAGGCTGAACAGGCCCAGTGCCCTCAGCCGCTCCTCATACATCTTCCCCTCTAGGCTTTTCACCATCTTTGTTGCCCTCCTCTGGACACTCAGACACTTTCACATCCTTTTTGTACTGTGGTGCCCAGCACTGCACACAGTGCTCGAGGTGAGGTTGCACAGTGCAGAGCAGAGCGGGACAATCACCTCCCTTGACCGACTGCGATGCTGTGCTCGATGCACCCCAGGGTACAGTTGGCCCTCCTGGCTGCCAGGACACACCGCTGGCTCATATTCAGCTTGCTATCAACCAAAACCTCCAGTTTTACTGCAGATTCTTTAAACACCCAACATTTACCAAGAGAGGAGCTTCTGACCCCACCACTTCAGAGTGCTGTTTCCCAAGCTGGTGCACAGGGAGGGCAGCAGGAGCAGTACAGAGCCCCCAAAGCCTCTGCTGCCATCCAGTGCTCCTGTGACAGGAATGGGGACACAGCAGCACAGCAGGGAGCAGGTCATGGTCCAAAGGGCATGGAGAGGAGCAGTCTGGAAGGAGCTTGGGACAGGCTGTTAATGACAATGCTGCAGTTTCAGGAGGCAAGAAGCCTGCTGCTTACAGCTTTATGTGCTCCTCCTCTAGTGACTCTTTCCAGTGCTAATACCACTCACAAGAGGATTAAGAAAAATCCCCCTTTCTTCACCCTGCTCTAGAATATTCTGCCCTTTTTTTTTTTTCATGAGTTTTGTGCAACTTCCAAAAGCAACTGCAGCCAGATATGTTTAGCGGAGAGTTTAACAAATCATGTATAACATTTCCATTGTATGAGGTGTTTTTACTATTTAAAGGAGATTGAAGCAGGCAGTTTAATGGTCACATGATGGGGATAAGCATTTCTGAGAGTTGCCTGGCCGGGACAGAGACTGTGAACTTCTCAGAGATGCCCAGCACAACCTCTGCAACTCAGCCAGCTGCTCCTTGCCCCAAGCAAATCTCGTCCAAGCAGAGCAACAGCTTGAATGCTCTATGCATGTTTGCGTTACAAATGGCTTTGTCTTGGAGATGGAAGCTGAGTCAGATGCTCTGATTACCTCTCCCCTAGATAAGTGTCCATGATGTAAAGGGGAACACACTGTCTGCTCTTATGTTAACTCTAAGCTTCAAGACCAATTGTTGCTGTTCAGCCTGAGTTGCTGGTCTGTTATCAAGCAAAGCCCTGTGTCAGTGATAAAAATGTGATTAGAAGACCATCCTGTTGCTACAAATTGGCATTCAGAATGGAATGTGTGCCAGAAAAAGTGATCTTTGCACTGAGATGAGGCTATCTGATGAGCAATAATATTAGTAACTGTAGCAAGGTGCATCACTGCATCTTAGGAAACATGCACTAATAAAAATCCAGGTAGACAATACCATTTGTTTACAAGCCCCATTTCATTGCTTTAAAGATTTTGATCCAGAAACATAGGAAGCAGATCCATTTAGGTACAAGCAGGCCAAGACAGCTGCTTGTAGACCTATGGAGAATGACCTGTTTTCTATGCTGGTGAACTCTTGTTTGGAGTTTGTACAACTCACAACTCCTCTTCTGTGTTCTGACTTTCAGTCACTAACAGAAAAGACAGCTCAAGAAAAAAGAGAGACAGGACTAATAAGGAAAAAGAAACACGTTGGTGCAATGAATAATGGTGGAGAAAGGACATAAGGCAATTTGTAAAACTCAGGTGGCATCCTCAAGATGATACAAACCTTACTGAGCTTTGGTCTATCATAGGGCAAGTGTCTGTCCATTGTGCACATTACAATCCTGTCTGAGAAACCCTCCTGGCGCAAGGTCTCTGCACAGACTAATCCAGCTGCACCTAAAAAAGAAGGAAGAGACATGGCATTAGGTGGTCTGAACCCTTTGAATGAACTCTTTCAATGCCAAAGAAAAAGATGGATCTGAACAGTATCGTGTTTTGGTCCATCTACAAAACACTGCTATCGATGGAGGCAGGGGGCAGTGGAAGAACAGGCAGCAAGGCAGTTGTCCTGTGCATGCTGCCTGGAGCACACTGAGCCAGGATGGATGCTGCACTGACACTGACTATGCAGGGCTGGAGGGGGAGTCTCTTCCCACCTAAGGAGCTTTGAAATCTCCCTTCCTGTTCACCAGAACAGACCTTGTTCTTCAGAAAGAGCTGTCAACGTAGCTGCTCAAGCCTGAAAAAGCTCTTTCAGCAACAACCAACATCTCCCACTGAGCATATTGGCTCAGGATTTGGGTGACTATTTACCTGCAGCCGTGCTGTGCTCCCTAAAGAGCCCAGCTGCCCCTGGCCAGCAGGAAGGTCACACTCCACATCTCAGTCAACAAACACCATGGGCACAAGGAAGGGAAAAATGCTGCCCAGCAGCAAGGGAAGAGCAGGCCTGGCTGGTTTTCCCTCTCTACTCAAGCTGTGAGACATAACTTAGATGATAGGAGCAGCTGATCACAGCGTGCTGAGCATTCCCACAGCTTGCATCTGGTGACCTGAGGGCTATAACGAAGTGAGAACAACCAAAGTGCCCTGCGCAGCCATTCCCTCCTAGCCCCAAGGTCCAGCACAGCACAGCCTGTGCCATCCCACCCTCTTCTTCACCGAAGGCACAATCCAGCCTTCCAGTGCAAATCAATACCTGCACCGATGATCAGCACGTTGGTACTGCTCAGGTTATAGTTGCTCAAGGAGATGCACTTTGCCATCATCTTTGTCCTCCTCTGTGTCTGAAGAGCCTACGCCACCAACAGCAAGAAAAACAGTCATTATCCTTCAATGCAGGGTTCCAGGTGAGGTCTCAGGAGAGCAGAACAGAGGGGGACAATCACCTCCCTTGACCTGCTGGCCTTGCTGCTTTTGATGCAGAAGCCATCAGAGGCCAAAATCCAGCACAGCCCTCCTCACCACATCCCACCTGCACCAGCTGGAGCAGTGCGATTCCATTCCAGTGACCTGTGGGGATCAAACCCCTCAGGTGGTGAAAAGGTCCAGCTGGGCCAGAGCACTGAGCCTCTGTATTCACACATGCATATATGCAAGTGTGAATCAGAATAAAAGTCTTTGTAGAAAGAAAGATGGCACTGGCCTCAATAGGCTTCACTCTGCATCCTGCCTTGGAGAAGACAGCCCTCCCTGCACACCCACCCCATCCCTCTCCAGTTGATGTCTGTGCAGAGATGAGCTCTGCCATCACCACGCTGCATTCAGACCCAGCTGGTGAGGCCACACAGCTGAAGGGAGAGGCCTGCTTCATGGCCCAACCAAACTACAGGCTGCTATGAGCTGAAGGAAACACGGCGTGAGTTCAGGACAAGCATCATCATGACATCCTGAACTCACAGACACCTCATCCAGCTCAGGCACCCTGGAGCAGCTCCTAGCAGTCAGGGGAGTGCAGGAGGGTGAGGGGGAGATGCTACAGCTCTGCCTGGCTCCACTCATGTCCCAGGGACAGACTTCAGGATGTTGCTCGAGACAGGGTTGGGCTAGGTAGACCTTTGGGTTACTCATTTTGAATGCTCACACATCCTTCTGCTCAGGTACTTCTTCCCCTGCCTTCCCCCGTGGAGGCAGCCATGGGCCTTGTTTTTGGGGTGTCAGCAGTGGCTCAGCCTCTCACCTGCTTGCTCGCTCGGATGTACACCTTCTCCTTTTCGATCTTCACCTGAGGGAGACAAACAGCAGTGGTTTGCAGGACAGCAAGCGTCTCTGGTGTGAGAAAGGTGCCTGCTCCGTCTGTGCACCAACTTCTGAACACAGCAGTGGTCTCCCCAGCCCACCTGCACTGCAGGGCTCATGAGAGAGCTGTCCAGGCCCCCAGGATGCGTCTTGTCCAACACCAACCATGCTCTGATGTTCATGTGCAGAAACTGCCCGTCTTTACCTGGACTTCTCCCCCAGCTTGAGGGCTGTTTTCTCCTGCACAAGAAGCCTCCCAGACCATGTACCTCCACCCTCACCTTCCCAGGAGTGCCTGACTGGTGCAGACAGAATGACAAAGGAGCTGCAGGGAGGAGGGAGTGCTGGGTGATCTCTACTGGCCACCCCACCACGTGCGTGGGAAATATTTGCTCCACACCTCTGCAGAAGCCATGCTAACATTCATTTCCTCTGCTGCAGGAACAAAGGTTCTCACCTGGAACCTGGGCAAGCTGTCCAAGCCAGGAAAGTCCTCTATGTCACCAGTGCTGATGTTGAAGCAGGCTCCGTGCCAGGGACAGCGGACTCTTCCTTTGGACAAACCCCTGCGTGAAAGACAGCATAGCCACATCAGTACAGTCCCTGCCCACAGCCCACTAGGTCAGCTGCTGCCCCCAGCTGAGGGCACAGGGGGCAGAGGCCAGGTCTCACTGCCAATATGCTCCTAGGATTCTAGAATTCTTCAAGTTTCACCACAGCTGCTGAGCGAGGTTGACCTGAAGGCCAGAGGTTGCTGTCCTGAGCCTGCTACAGTGGCAGGAGCTATACAACCTCCACGCAGAGCAGTTTCAACACCCAGATTCTGAACATATCTCTGTGACACTCTTCTCTTTACCTAGAGCTGTCATCTCTTCTACAGGGCACGCGGCAGCTGTCGTGGACGTGGATGGTCAGCAGCATCTTGGCTGCTTCACGTGGGCTTCTCTAGCTTGTGCATGGGACTGGTCCAGCCATTTGGGCTAGAGGGTGAGGTGCCAACTGGGATCCTGGGTGTGGGATCCTAGCTAAGATGCCCTCACTGAGAGAGCCCCTTCCAATGCCCCTGCGCACAGCTCCACAAGCTCTCTGCTGTGCCTACAGGATAATCCTCAGGGATCACATCACCAGGTCCTGCGGTCATCTCTACAAGTCCAGGTACCACCACAAGCAAGCAGTGCCTCAAAGCAGAGCATCACATATTTAGGCAAGCCTATGTCAGCACAGATGCTGACACATCAAGGAGCATGCATGCCACTGGAATAAGTACAGGGCATGTTCAAAGCAGTGAGGTCACTCCTCGTAAGTATTTGCTCTGTCTGCTACCTTGGACTTTGTCTGTCCCTGCCTGGAAGAACTGGCTCGAGGCAGAGAGAACTGCTACAGTTCAGCTGTGCTGGGCTCATCCTGAGTTGGTGTATTTGCTCGCTGCACTGCCATGTCTTGTCACTAGATGCAGGGACTCAGGGGCCACCCCTCCTGCATCTCCAGTGAGATCGCTGTGCAAAGCCAAAAGGTGTTGACACCAGAGGGGGACAAGCAAGCCGAGAGCGTGCCTGCCTGCACCCAGCACTGCTACTGGTGCCAGGACAGCATGTGAGGATACCCTGCCACCTTCCCCAGCACCCCTCCTCCAGCCAAACACCCACAGTTAAGGCACACGGCCAAGATGGCACCACCAGGGGCCCTTAATTCAGGCTTCTGGTACCATGAGGGCAAACCACTGTACATCACCACACTTCCACCACTGACAACAGAGCCCTCATGAACATGATTTTGATTTATAGGGAGTTGTGGATTTTTGTTTTTTAAGACTGAGTGGCCTGAAAAATCATAAAATGCAGAAGATTTTTTGTTTTTTCTTCCTTTAAAATACCTTTTAACTCCTCGATGGCTGAGAACCAGTAAACAGAACAAAGCCCCATAAAATGAGGCTCTGTTTGGATGCAGTGAGCTGAGGCTGTCTCACACAGTCCGAGAGAGGTTCAGACCCCAGCTGAAGAGACAACACGTAATGATGCTAGATGAGTTTCGTTCTCTGAAGTCACCCAAGCAAGCCTCAGGCCTGTGTCACTGAGTTCACCAGCAAACCAAACCCAAGGCTGAGTACCCTCGGAGGCTTCTGCACTGCCACCTTTCTGAAGACACACTTCCCTCACCGAGAAGATGCTGGGATGAGGTTAAGAGGAATGGCACTACCCCATACTCCCCACAGCACCCATGAAGGACCTCGGGGCTGTAAAGGTAAACGCTTTGCCTCCCATTTTTATGCGCACAGCAAGTGATACAGACAGACCTTTAACCAGCGGGGCCCCATAGTGAGGGCATTTGTGTCCCATGGCGTAGAACTCGCCGCTCTCCTTGATCAGCAGCGCCTTCCCGCAGCCCAGGTCCACCTCACGCATCCTAAGGAGGAGG